ACCGGACCCAAAAAATAAATAAATAAAATAAAAAATAAAATAAAATAAAGACTCTCACTGCAAACAAACTGCCAAAGGAGAGGATGGATTCGCTCCAAACTGGAGGGCATTTTCAACTTTGGTAGGAATTTTTTTGTGTCACTCATTAATGCATTGAAGTTTAACGTATTTTAGAAGAAATATATTCCTAATGAGCCCAAAGGAAAATGCTGTTGCCAAGTGAATAGTGGAGATATACATTAAAGGAAAGACCAAATTCTTGCGGACTGAGATCAGAGGATCATGATTTGAAGCCAGTCCAGGCAGAAATGTCCATGAGAGTTATCTCCAGTTAACCAGCAAAATGTTGGAAGTAGAGCAGTGGCTCAAGAGGTAGAATGCTAGCCTTGAGGGAAAAAAGTTAAAGGACAGTGCCCAGGCCTTGAGTTCAAGTCCAGTATTCACACACACACACACACACACACACACACACACACACACACAAAACCCCCTTCAATGATCTCCAAGGTCAACTTCAACCAACTAACTACACTCTTCTAAGACATTTCTGTTCTCACGATATTATTTTTAAAAATACTGCAAGGAAAAAGGAAATGAGACGTTTGGTCCAGCTTAAATGCTCTTCTATTGTAACTTTTTCCCCAACACACTTCCTTACATCTCCATTCCCAAGATCCTAGGAATCCAAAAGATGTTTCTAAGTCACGGCCCATTTCCCTTTCCAACACACACACAAATGTCCACCTGGCTGGTAAGGGGATTTGAATGAGGTGATCAGTGCTGGTGGAGTCTAAAAGCCACTTGGACAAAACTGGTTCCATCAGCCATGCCTGGATTTATTATGTCTCATTAACATTTAAAGGTTCTCCAAGCTCCTTTTGGATACAGTAATCTCCCCAGGAGAGGTGCTCTGGATTGTCCAGAACACACTCTCCAATTTCTCTCCCTCTTCTAGTTGCAGGTGCCATTTCCCTGTGCCCAGCAAGGCTGAAATACAAGCCTATTGCTGGACACAGACCTAGAGCTTTGAGGTCAATTGAACAACTTGTCTCTTATCCATATTCAGTTACAGAGTTTATCCCTGGTTTGTGCAGAATATGTCATGAAGCATCGTACTATCTCATAGGAAATTGTTCTGACATATTGGTAGGGGAGATGTTATAACATCATGTCCAAGTCAACTAGCATGCCACAAAGATTCAGCCAATAAACTATGGAGAGCTCCTCTCCTGGTCTTCTACTTTGCTTTACATTTGGTTCATTTTGGGTACACATTTCATGAGGAAGTGCAAAATGGAAGTTGAGACAGCCTGGGCAGACTGGAAATCAAAGAGAGCCTGGGTGTTACTATCCACAGCCAAGAAATTGGTGCAAAGGGTAGAACCAGCCTGAATCAGGCCTTGTAAAACAGGTGGTAAAGTTGGAGCAAAAATACTAAGGATTTCCAGAAATGAATATGTGTTTGATGAACAGTATCTATAGTACTGAAGCCAATATTTTCCTTGATAGAGGTCTTGAAAAAAAATTGACCTTCAGGGACAAATAGTTCAACTAGTCCAGTGTGTCAACACGGCTAGGCAAATGATCCAGATGTGAATCCCATGCTCAGACCAGCCACCCAATCACAGAGCAAGAAAATAGCCTTCAGCAGCTCCGTAACCTATCCATCATCCTATTTCATGGCATCTCTGATTGTCCTCATTTTGCAGATGAGGAAACTGAGACCCAATGGTTATGTGCCTTTCCCAAAGTCACACAGCTCAGAAGTGACACAACTAGATTTCAGCTGATTTTTTTGACAACTCCCAGTCAGGTTTCTGAGGAGCAGCTGAGGGCAGGGCAGGTCCCACACATGCCACCACCTCACTTACCGCTGGTGATGTTGTGCAGACGCAAGCAAAGGAAGAGCGGCATCCAGCCCTGTCCTATGTCGCGTTCCAGAAAGCAACACTTCTTGGGGAAGCTTTGCGGAGGCAAAAAGAATAGAAACCTTCATTAAACTGCTTTTGGGAACAAATGGAGTCTACTGCAGGCCATGTCAAAGAGGCTGGTCATTTCTCCATTAGACCCATGTGTACCTTGGTTCCCCTGGGCAGCACACAATCTGTGTGCCCAGGAGGTGCCCAACAAGTATGCATGGAATGACAGGCAGCATGACAACAGGACCATGTTATCTATAGAGGATTTCAATCTATACTCTCTCCCCTGAGTTTCACAAACTTCCTGTGGGACAGACAGGGCAAAGACCGGCAGCTACCTTTTACAGAAGAAAACTGGAGGCTCAGTCAGTACTTCAGCCTGGGGCAGGTGACGCCTTCTTGTAGTGAGTGATGAAATTAGCCCCTTTAAAAGGACTTACAGGGTAACTCGTTTCCGTGGCTGACTTCAGCTTCCATTCTATTACAGCCAGGGTCTATGGGAAATGCCCATTCATTACCACACAGGCAGCAGCTCAGGGCTAGCTGGCACTCCAAGTCCCCTAGAGGACATTCATATGCAGACACACATCCATCACTCTTGTTTTGAAATAATTGGCTTTAGAAAAAGGTCATTTTCCCCCAAATGGGACAATGGGGGATACTTTTTTCAAGTCTCTTTGGAAATACATGGTCACTCCCTCGGGGAAGATTTTGCATAAGACCAGCCAAGGGAACTTTTAGATTGCTTTTCCATGAACCAAGAGTCCAAATAACACCCTGTCCCAGCCGGACCCGACACACCCTTGGCTCTGAGCCCTGCCTGTGCTGGGGATCCTGCTGACCTGTACAGATTTGGGGATTCCTGGGAATCTCCAGGAACTCTGATTCTCAGTGGTCCCAGGAGCTAGATCTAGGGGTGCTGAGAAGGATGGGACAAAGACAAATGGATTCTGATTCAATTCAATGAATATTTATCCGTACATATACTTCCGTGTCTGTCAGATAGATAAATGCTTCCAGAATTGCAGGACTGTTATGAACCAGCCCTCCATTACCTAAGATGTGTGGAGCTGGGGCTGCTGGTGTCCTAAGCACACAGATGTTTTTGTGTGACAGTTAACATGCGTGTGCACCTGTTCTATTTACTGACTTGGAGGCTAATTCCTTCTCTGCCTCTGTCACCATTTAATGGAAGAACAGCTGACGCCTCCATCATGGGCACTGTGGGTGTCGGGAAAGGGCCAGCCACTGCTCCCTCCTGGCCTTGCTAAGTGCTCATGGCTGGGGCTTCCCCGGCTGGGCTGTCCCCAAGCACTGAGTACCAGCTGGAGGTGGAGCTTCAAAACAATCAGATGCACAGCAGTGTCAGGGCAGGGCTCAGGGGATGTTTTCCCTCTGACTAGGAAGACGCCAGGCCCCCGTTCCAATGCTCTGTGCTGCTGTAAGAATAGGAGGTCCCACGGCCTCCATCTTCCCATTGCGTGCCACTCAGACCCGAGGGACCACAAGCCAAGGCCTCTGTGGAGAAGCCTTTTGTCTCGGTGGATTTGGGAAGAGACGTGGGGCACTGAAGGAAGTAGTGAGGATGGTCAGTCATCTCATGACTGACCTGGAAGAATCACAGTTAGCTCATTGACCAATGGAGCTGGAAGACACCAAGGTCCAGTTAGGGTCCAGCCACCCATCAAACATGACTGGGCCTCCCTGAGCTTCGATCTCCTTCGCTCTCAAGTGGGAACAACAGCCACACGTGCCTCTTTTGGTAGATGGATGAAGTCAAGATGACAGTGTCTGGAAAGTGCTTGGCACCATTGCCTTCCTGTTCCAAAGTGAGCTGGGCCTCAGGCTGGTTGTGCAGAGTGATTCCATGGCATATCTCATCACTACCACCCTTCAAAGTCACCCAGGCCATGAGCTAAGGCCAAGGAAGATGATGGTATTCTCAGCCTCTGTGTTTCTAAACTCTCAAAAGACCCAAGAACAGGGCTCATCTCCTGGAGCCAGTCAGTAGCACCCAGATCCGATCCTTTGCCCAGAGGAGGCTAGGCCGACCTCACGGGTCCAACCCCAGGCCTTTTCTATCTTACCCGGTGCCTTCTGACTGTCTGGGTTCATTCTGTGCCCTCCTGGCTGGAGGGTGAATGCGTGTGCCTGGTGTGACATAGAATAGGAAGAGGAAGGCTGCCGAGTCTGGAGGCTTCTGTGAATGGCTGTGTTGATGGAAACAAGGCTAGGCATAGTTTTCCTGGCACCAAGTTCTGGCTGGGAAAAGACCTCACGTGTTTTAGATTTATTTTTCTGCAACACACTTCCGGCTTCCTAAAGTTTCTGAGACGCCCCAGGGCATGGTTTCTCTAGGGAAGACAGTTCACAGTTCCTTGGTATTGCAAGACATTGCCAGATTGGAATTGGGGCTGGCTCTCCATGCAAACTGCCTCCACACCTCCAGAAAGGCAAGTCTCTCTCTGAGGGTGCACATGGCAGTTTGAAAGTGCCCTCAGGCCTTCCATCATCCCTGCTGAGTGTAAGATTCATGGCTCTGCTAGCCCAGCAGAAAATACCCCAGAATACCCTGGGGAATTCTGAAATGGGCAAGAGCATAGGTGAACCTTTATGAAATAGGCCAAATACTGTATGATTCTACTCTATGAGGTGCTAGAATAATGATGTCAACAGAGACAGAAAGTGGCAGAGGCTAGAGAGGGGGAAAAAAGGGACTTCCGTGAGTACAGTTTCAGCTTCTAAAGGTAAAATGGGTGCATAACAAAGTGAATGCACTAATGACACTGATGTGTTTATAAAAATGGTTAAAATGTATCTTTTACCATAAAACAAAGATTGAAGGTCAAAAGTGTCTTTAGCTTACTTGAAACCTATTTGAAATAATGTATTAACATTTAAATGAAGTTGGAAAAACATATACATTTGGGGGCAATAGCTCACAGTAAGAGGAGAACATGGCTTTTGGTCAAAACATAACAGTGACAAAGACCTGGAGAGATGGACCTCTGGATCTAAACCCCAAAGTGCCCTGAATGAAACAATCCCTCTGCGGCCAGCCCAGCTTCACCTCCCAATGTCTCTACTGCTCAGGCCATCCTACTCCTAGATACTACGCTGGTTCCTCTCCTTAGGTCAGAACATACCCACCCATCAGGTAAGACGTATGTGTGGCAGCCTCCCCGCAAAATGGTCAGGCTGCTGGACAAAGTCTTAGTGGAGTAAGCGGCCGAGCTGGGGTTCAGATCAGAGCTGACCGCCTCCAACACATGCCTCCTCTATGGTTTGTCTCTGCTGCCTGGATTCAGACTCTAGGAAGACAGAGATTTGTGTCTTGTGTCTGCTTTGTTGAGTCGTGTTTTTACTCAACGCCTCTGACTGTGCCTGGTCGTTCCTTGCAGTCCACTGGTTGTGTTGATTGAAAATCTGTACCCTCCCAACTTTCCAGCTTCAACTTCACCCTTCTGTCCCTCCATTCATCCACAGTTTATCTGCAAGGAATGCCAGCAATGCCAGCATTAGGTGGCCAGGCTACCCCAGGCCATATTTCCATGCCTATATGCCTCTGTCTGCTGTCACCACACTCATTTGTCAAACCAAGTCCTGTTGGTACCTTGTCAAGACCCAGTCCCATGTCCCCTCCGATGGTCAGGACGGCTCTGGTTCTTGAGTCTGGTTGGAAACTCACTAGCATCTTGCCTAATGACAGCTACAATCAGCATTAGGTCCTCTTTGATGATTACCTACATCCAGATTCTTCCTGTGTTTCTCTACACTATTGTGGAAAATGTACTTTGCTGTCTCTTTGTATTCTGGAAAGCCAAGAAGCAATGCAGCAATGCGGGGTGGGGGGGGCGAGTAGAGAGCTATAAAGAACTGGAAATCAATCATATTTGCCATCTTGAGAACAAGGGAGATTCAAACTCCAGAGAGCCAAGCTGAAGGGAAACGCAGCCAGTGGCCAGATAAAGAAAAGACAAAGTTCAGACAAGTCACGAAAGCTATGTTCTGAGAAATCCTCTTGTCCTCAAATACACCAGCCTCTGAGCACAGGGCCGGGTGGAACAATTCTAAGAACAACTTGATGGCACCCATGTCCATGTGACTCATGGGATTTTTAAATGAATCTTGCAGTAGAAAGATCAGCATTCCCCCCCACCCCCCTGCCCCCCCCCTCCCTCCCTGCCTAGCGGAGCCTGGGCTCACGCATGCTCTGTGGCTTCCTCTGCAAATGCCTTTCATGAATCACAAGGAGGTGTAGCTTCTGCCCACACCGGGATGTAGCATCCGGGGCTATTTCCCTGGAGAAATCAGTGAACTTGGGGCCTGTGGGGCCCAGGGCATGACCAGGCAGATCTCTTAGGTGGTTCCATGAGCACAGCATGTGTGGGAAGGGTGGAGAAAGTGCTTGTTGGGTTATCAGGCTAGTATACACCCATGCAGCTGGCACAGCTCTTGTTCTTTCTGCAGAAAAGCAGCACAGAAGAGGAATGTATCCAGAGTCTAGATGGGGATCCAGGAAAGCCCCCTGGAGCTATATTTGGTCATTTCTGTAAAGGCTGGATCCGATTTGGACAGGGCACAGGAAAGGTGAGATTCAGCTGAAGAGGCCAATGAAATCTAGAAAGGGGAAATAATTTCACTGCCTCTATCCATGACCTCTTTTCAGTGATCATCTGAGCAAGACACATTTGATAATAATCAATCTAAGGGCCAGAGATATAGATCTATTATGATTTGCCCCAGCCCTAAAACCTCATAGTAAAATGATGTGTCAGGAGACCTGTGAGATTCACGTCGGTCTTGGCTCCACCACCGATTTTTCACAAAGGAGCCCTTATCAGCCCAGGGCTTCTGTTAGAGTGCACAATGAAGAGGCAGGACCAGTTGATAATTGCTAAAGGACACTCAGCAACAATCTCCTTTGATTTAGTGCAGTGATCAGTTTAAGAACTGAACATATCTTGTTATTATATAGCTTCTAAACCACTCTTCACTGTAATTCATGTAATCATAAGAAAAGTTTTACCCAGTTCCCTTGGAAATGGGAAGATCTTTTGCTGATCCCAATTACAATGTCCAGTTACACTTGACTATGAGTTGGCTTCTTCACCCTTCCAGAGGGGTTCACTCAGATCTAGCCCAGTCCCAGACACCAAAAAGAGGAGACATGGGGGTAAGAAGAATACAAGGCTGTTTTCCAATCTTCTGCAGAGCCTGGGCATATACAAAGCTCCTGTAGAAGTGAAGGGCCAATCCTGGCCCTGGAAAGAGAGCGCCAGTAGAGGTATAACATACACAGTGGTGCCCAAGCCTGGAGGGAGAAAGATGTCATCCAGCATCAAATCCATGCACATCAGGACTCAAATCATCGCTGGCCCTGTGCATTTCCTGCAGAGCTCCACAGGCCTTGCAAACACAGCACCTGTGCCTATTTACTGTCAATTGGTGAGACTAGAGTAGTTACCGAGCATTCCATGCAGAGTAGCTCCTTGCATTGAAGTGAAATATTTTAGAGGTTAAAATTCCTTCTACAGAACACTCAAAGCATCATTCATTCTCAGCTGTGAGGGAACAGCTGTTGCCTGATGGGATTGGAGTGTAAAGTCCTGGCTGTGCACGATCGATGTGAAAGTTATATTTAGGGACAGATAAATCAATCACAATGTATGTTTTAAATGAAGTACAAATCTTAAAGAGATGTGAATGGGATGGCAGAAGACCAGAGAATAAACACCCATGTTAGACACTGGGGAAAGGTGGTACTTGCAGGGTTTCCTTTGGGAGACCTTGCCACACATAGAAATATGAGAGATGATACCAGCAAGAGGCATTTAACAAACCCGTATGTCACTGATCAAGATGCACTATATTCATAATCTGCTTTGTTAAATGGCAACTCCTTTGTACAGCTACTTAATGATAATAAAGGTGTTTTTTTAAAGAACCTCATATCTCTGTTCAATAAGCAGATTGATCTATGCAAATTCACTATAAACCAAAATCAAATAAATTGTAATAGAACCCACTATTTTTTGAATAAATGATGATGGATTCCTACCTCTTCAGGTAGAACACTCCTCCTCCCATCCACCACATCAGGTAGAACGGATGGGTGAATGAATGATCCTTGTGGCCATCTTTGCTTCTGCAACCATTCTTTCCAGGTCATCTCCCTGATCCTACCATACAGACAGGGGCAGCAGGTTCCTTGGCTGCCTTCCTTTCTCTACCTAGGTGTGTCCTTACTCCAGAAATAGCTGGAGAAATCCACCCCCACTGCCAACCTGACACACTGTACACAGACACCACATGTGGAAGGTGTGAGATACAGAGAAATGAAATGCATACCCCCAAAGCAGAAAGAAGCCTCAGAACCAATTACCTAAGTGCCCACACCTCAAGAAATTAGGAAAAAAATAGTAAATGATCCTCAAAGAAAGTAGATATAAGGAAATAGTGCAAAGGTTAGTAAAACAGGATATTTATGCATATACTTATATCCACAGGGATATATATAAAATCAACAAAATGAAAAGGCTATCAAAATACTACTTATTTCAAAAAAAAGGAATCAAAAGCTTTTTTTGTCAAAAGCCTTTCGGTTTTGTTAAAATAAACCAGTGCTAGGCATCATTAGCTCACACCTGTAATCCTAGCTACTTTAGAGGCTGTAGTTCAAAGCTAGCCTGGGTAGGATAATCAGAGCATAGAGGCATGTCTTAAGGGGTAGAGTGCTAACCTTGAGCAAAAAAAGCTCAGGGACATGGCCTAGTAGAGTTCAAGCAATAAACTAACAATGTTGGTCAATGAATAAAAGAAAAGAAACATACAAGTTGCAAATATCACATAGGAAAAAGAGGCTACAAATTTCAAAGATATTAAAATATATTAAATATTTATGAAAGACTATTTTGGGCCATAATTCTCCATAATTTAAAAGAATTAGAATCATAGAATGTCTCTGATAACAATGGAATTAAATTAGTGATAAATTACAAACATCCTTAAAGGTTCAGAAAACAAACAATATAGTTCTGACTCATGACTCAAAGAAGAAATTTAAAGAGGAAAAATAGTATTTTGAACTGAATGATATTTAAAACAAAACACATCATAATTTGTGAGAATGCGGCTAAAGCAATACATAGAGGGAAATTCGTAGCACTGAACAAACAATACAGGTTTTAAACCAGTGATTTACATTTCAGGTTTATGAAAGTAGAAAGAGAACAGTGAATCAGACATTTAAAAAAAAAGAGGGACATTGCTCCTAATTTAAAAAAAAACTCATCAAACTAGAAATGAAAGGAACTTTTTCAGTAAAATAAAGGTATCTGTATTAAGTCTGTGGTAAACATCCTACTAAGTGGTGATTAGGCTGGGCTGGTAAGATGCCTTGAATATCTGTAAGTGGTTCTCACAAGAAACACTGTAGGATTGGGGTTTACGGAATGGTCATGCACCATGCAGATTCACCAGGAAAGAGGACAATCTCTGATGGCACTGCTGACATGCATGAGAAGCTGAAGAGAAGCCAAGAGTTTATTTGGGACCCCTGGAAGGCTAGAAGCCCATGGCCTTCCATCCTCTGTGCAATGAGCCACATACCTCCCCATCTCCTTCCTGCACCTCCCCTCCTGTTACTCCCCAAACCACTGCTCCGATGCGTGTATCTGCGCTAGGTCATTTCCCATCTCCAGTGCCAAGATGAGGGCTGAGCTGTCCCCCAGCAGCACTCCCTCCTGCAGCATGACTCATTGGAAGGAGTGTCTCTGGGCTATTAAAAGAGCACGGAGGAGGGGCTCACACATTTGGGTTCAGAGCAAATTATAGAGAAACTAAGCACAGCACACACAATTCTGGCCCTGAATACTGTTTTCTCTAAATAACAAGACAGAACCTCAGAGGGTTTTTATTAGTCAACATGGTGCCAAGATGTTCCAGGAATGGATTGACTCCTTCAGAACAATACAAATGAAACTTGGCTTTTTACCTAGTCACGCTGCTGAACAACGTGAAATATGTTTACCTGCTAAACTCATGTGTGCAAAAGAAGGGGAGCGGTTTTACTTCCGGAACGTCGAACATGTCCTGTCACTCCTGGAACCCCCATTCCTACTCTTGAGGAGAAGAGAAACAGGAATGCAATGCGGAAGTTTACCCCACTAGCACTTTCCTCTCGAGAAGACACTCTGAAGGCCATCTATAGTCGCTGGCTATAGCACCACCAAACTCCACAGCACCTTGGAGGTGTGGGTGTGATTTCACAAAGATTTAATGAAAGTGCAAGGGGTCTTGGTTCAAAACGCGTCCCCAAGGCCCATGTGTGAAAGGCTCAGTCCTCAGCTTCTGATGCTACTGGGTGGTGGTGGAACCTTTAAGAGGCGGAGATTGAAACCCAGCCTTTCCTCCTTGTTTGCTTCCTGTCCACCTTGAAGTGACATTTTGCTACACCATCTGGTGGAGCCAGGCAACCACAGATTAAAACTTATTTGAGCCCAAATATATTTTCCTTTCTTAAAAGTTGACGGCCTCCATATTATGTCTCATCAATGCAAAGTGACTAAGAAAGGAAGCTAAGGTGACACAAACGGAATACCAGCAGCCAGCTGGCTCACCCGATGCTGCTCCCCACCACCACGGGATTGGACAAACCAACACACTCATAGACAGAAGGGGAAATGGGAAAGGGCAAGAGGGTGCCTTACAAAGCAGTTTGTACATCTTTGGCTAATAAAAACAGCAGCCTCGGGAGTTTTCCAAACCTTGTAGGGGGCCTTCTGCCAACCAACAAGGTAGGAACCACACTAGCTGCTGTAGTGTGGACAGCAAAGCATCTTGGGCTTTAACAGGTCTGAGTTCAAGTCAAACTCTACCCCTTATCATGTGCATACTGTCTGCCAAGGTGTATGATCTCAATCTCACTTTCCTCCTCCCAAAATGGGAATGCTAAACCAGCTTCTTAGTAATGTGTAGCTAAGCTGAAGTGGGGAACAGGATGTGCTGATTAGAGAGAAAGTACTTGGTGTTGCAGATTTAAAGGGTGCCCAGTGGGAAGAGGAGGGGAAATTGGGAGAGAGTAAGGGAAGGGGGGCATTGTCCAGAAAGAAATTGCTAGTATGTACTCACTCCCTGACATGTGACTGTAACTCCTTTGTACATCATCTTTATAATAACCATTTTTTCAAAAAGCGCCCAGTATTGTCACAGTAACTGTGATTTTTTTCCACTTGGTGAGACATATGGATTTTCAATCTTTTAAATTTAGGCAGAATAAGGAACCAGCTCAATATTACAAAACTTCTACAAATTCAAATGCTTTTTTATCTGCTCCAAGGCCCCGCATTTCTATACACCATCTAGAGTAATAGAAACAAGAATACCTGGTCTCACGTAGGAACTTTTAAGGTCTCTATAGAATGGTAATATTCTTCAACAAGAGCATATCTTGCACGTCCAGCCTATTGCTAGACATAGGAGTTCCAAGAATCTCATCCTGTAACACCTGCCTGTTATTTACACTTCTAAAAATAGTTTGGTGGTCTGAAGACATCCCATAATGTTAGGCCTCATAAGGAAGCTGCACTTTACATCTTGTGGAAGGTGCTATGAACATTATATCAGTGATAGAATGATATCATAAGACAAAAAGCATCCTACAGGACAGACATTTTATCAATTAACACTAAGTCATGTTACCTGTTGAAAAATGTCAGCATAGTTTCATAAACTGGAATTGTCTGAATCTTGGTGTGTAGTTGCAAGTAGACCCACATAAGTAAAGTTTTCAGAAGATCAAATTCGCTAAAGGTAAACAACCTGGTCAAAATGAAAGATGGAGAAGGAACATTAGGAATGAATAAGCACTGCCGCAGGAAAGCCTCGCCATTTGTAGGAAAATGAAGCTACAAGCGAGTCTGGTGATGGAGGTAATGCCAGCTCTGAGTTTGCAGGTAGTGTCACACACAGAGAAACCCGAAATTTAGTTCATGGTCACTTGACTGGTAAGAGCTGAGACTTGAACTTCAGCACCGTGGCTCTGGACCCTGAGCTTTCAGACACCCACTGTGTGACGACAGAAAACAATGTCTGCATTTTGCAAGCTCTTATTAAGTGTCAGTGTTCCCCAAACATTTTATACAGATTTTCAACTCCACACTACTACCCAGTGAAGTTGAGATACCAACTTGTTTCTGTAGACATGGAAACTGAATGACCCTGTGGTTTATTTAAATATTTAATACTGTGTTCATTCTAAAAAAAATATTTTTTGCCAGTCCTGTGGCATGAAGTCAGGGCTTGGGTGCTCTCCCTGAGCCTCTTTGTGCTCAAGGCTAGCACTCTACCATGTGAGCCACAGCACCACTTCCGGTCTGAGTAGTTTATTGGAGATATGAATCGTATGGGGACTTTCCTGCCCAGGCTGGCTTCAAACTGCGATCCTCAGATCTCAACCTCTGGAGTAGCTGGGATTGCAGGGGTGAGCCACCGGCACCAGGCTCATCCTAGATTTTTTATATCAATTTTGATTTTTAAATATGCCTCAAAATATGCTTTATGTTGATGACTGAGATTTTGCACCCAAAGTAAGCACCTGACTGAGAGTATGAATTATTAATCCCAGGTCCCATGATGCCGGGCTCAGACTCGGGCCTGCTGGAACCTCTGGAGTGTTGCTAACCTGCGCTATAGCTATGATTTTCTCAGCTGTGAAAGAGCAGGAATGGCAGTGCTCAGGAGACCCTGATGAAGAGCAGAGGAGGTGACTCATTCTATGAGTTCCCAACTGCTACCTCAACCAACTGTCACAAAGTGGCTTCAGACACCATCGGTTTTTTCTGTCACAGGTCTGGAGGTCGGAAGTGTGAAGCGGCTCTCACTTGGCTTCCCTGGAGCAGGACTGGCAGGGCTGATTCCTTCTGCAGACTCTGGGGAGAATGGCAGCTCCACTTTCCCCTACATGTCGAGGGCACCTTCATTCCTTGGCTTGTGGCCCCTTCTTGGATTGTACAGCTAGCAGCACAGCATCTTCCAGGCTAGTCTTCCTCCTCTGAATCTCTCAGAACATGTAAAGGACCCTGCGATTATACCGGGCTCACCCAGATAATCTAGGGTAACGTCCCGTTTTGAAGTCAGCTGCTTCCTCACCTCCATTCCATCTGCAACTCCAGTTCCCTTTTGCCAAAGAACTGAACCTATTCATAAAGAACTGAACCTCTGGAGATCTGGATGTGTATATCTTTGAAGTCACTATTCTGCAGACACACACACAGTGCTTAGCCCAGCGCCTGGACATTCTATCACTCAGCTAATGGCAGCTCTTACCCAAAGTGGGTGGTGGCTCCAGAGTGCACACTGTGACCCCAGCAGCAAGAGGCCTCTCCCTAAGTATACAATGTCAGTCACTGTCTCTCCCCAAGCACACACGATGCCAGTCACTGCAAAGCTAGGAGAAGCAGCCCCTCCCAGAGCTTCTCCGGACTCGGTTATCTAAGAAAGCGATTACAAAAATATCCCAGGGATATTTTTAGTCCCTGACCGTGACGTGGCACCCTGGTTTACAAAATTTGTCACAGCCACTTCCTAGGAGGTGGGTAAGGTCATTGCGGTGGACCCCCAAGCCGAGTCAAAACACTAAAGGGCTATGGAAATGTCACCGTGCGCCTCTCTCGTTATTTCTGGACGCAGTACAACTGTCTCGTTTGTTTCTCTTATTTGGTTTTCAGGCTACCTGCAGATGCCTGGGATTTGAATCCGGCTAGACAGGACCAAGTCGGTCACTGTCTGAGCCAAAACAAGGAGGCAGGATAAGGAGAAGATCCACAGAGCTGCTTCGCAGAGCTGCTGGGTGCCATGTCCCCGCAAAGAACTTTGTCAACTGGGTCGGGAAAGCTGAGTGAGTTTCCAGAACGTGTTCTACATGAGGTCCAGCAGCTCAGAAGACTTTTACCTGACTGAGCAGAGGCTAGCAGCTACAGGGGGAACATCGGTGCTCCACGGTGGTTTTATTTATGGACAATTACTAAAAGACAGTGCTGTGTCTTCAAGCCAGTATCAGTCCTCCAATATACTCGTTCCTGCAGAAGAACAGGCACACACTTTATCATGAGCCTCCAGCTCTGATGGCCTCCATCAAGACAGAACTCACAGCCAGTGACATTCCTGCAGCAATCACCCTGCCAGAACCGTCACACACATTGTCATGAATTCAGAGCCCTGAAGACCTCCATCAGTGCATAGCCAGCAACTGCCAACCCCGCCCCACCCCACCCCGGCACAGGAGGGAGGTCAGGCTGCACCAGGCATGCTCCCCAGTGCCCCCTGGTGACACTGCAGTGTAACTGCTGCTTGCTTTTTCCAGGAAAAGAAATGTTCTTTCTATTGCATTTAGAGAAAATGGTACACCCACAATAAACCTCCTTTCTGAAGGCAGAAAGCCACACCCAACAAAATGGGCTGTGAACAAGGTCCCATTGCCGCTGTCTGTGTCATAGGAGAAACCAAATAAAACCAAAGGCCTTCAGGAAAGGGATGGGAAAAGGATGCTGTGTACTTCCTCCATAGAACCCTATGCAACCATTACAAGAAAAAATTGCAAATCAGGTACATCGGCATCAACATGTTGAGAACACAAAGCGCAGCCTTGGTGAATGAGCTGCAAAAGATGGCCTTGGCGATGTTGGGCTGGACTTTAAGCCTCTGCAAGATGGCAGAATCACTGTTTACAGATGCACATGGATGCACAGTAATAAGCATTCAGTTGGATTGATTCACACCAAGTCCCAAGAGGTTTGCCGGCCTTTTCTTCAAAGAGTGAGTAGGATGGGTGTGGGAACACTGCTTTACTGATATTTGAATATTTGCTTTCTTTATTTGGTTTTTTAATTTAAATTTATTGTCAAGGTGATGTACAGAGGGGTTACGGTTGCCTATGTAAGGTAATGAGTACACTTCTTGTCAACCATTGTTACCCCGTTCTCCCACGTTTTCTTCCCTCCAACTCCCTCCCACTGCAAGTTGTAAAGTCCATTTCCAACATATTGTCTTGTGAGTATTGCTGTGGCATCGGCTCCCCCTTGGTCCCATGTCTCACCAGATTTCTTAATTTGTGACAAGTTGTTATTTGGGGAGATGAATACATTTGTGTTTTACATAATCCTTTCTACTTTTATTTTACATCTTTTTTTTTTTTTTTTGGTCGGTCGTGGGGCTTGAACTCTGGGCCTGAGCGCTATCCTTGCGCTTCTCAGTTCAAGGCAAGTGCTCTACTGCTTGAGCCACAGCGCCACTTCCGGTTTTCGAGTAGTTTATTGGAGATAAGAGTCTCACGGACTTTCCTGCCCAGGCTGGCTTTGAACCTCAATCCTCAGATCTCAGCCTCCTGAGTAGCTAGGATTACAGGCGTGAGCCACCAGCGCCCGGCTTCTATCTTTATTTAAAAAAAATTTTTTTTTGTGCCAGTCTTGGGGCTTAAACTCTGGGCGCAGGTACTGTCTCTTGAGTTATTTTACTCAAGGATAACACTCCACCACTTGAGTCACAGCTCCACTTCTGGGTATTTTAGCAGTTTAATGGAGATAAGGGTCTCATCTGCCTGGGCTGGCTTTGAACTGTGACCTTCAGATCTCAGCCTCTTGAGTAGCTAAGATTATAGGCAAGAGCCACCAGCACCCAGCTATAAATTGTTCTTCTGAGGCAAAATAGTAACATCCATATCTTTACGCTTCTTGACCCTCAATAAGGAAAAAGGAGGCCATGTGCCCTGTACACCAGCAGGCTGAGGCCATTCTGACCGGGCCTCAAATCCCAAGACTTCTACTTGCATGGGGGTGCCCTTGGCTAAGCCCTCTATTTCCTATAGTCTCCCTTTCATAGGAAAGGGAAAAGTGCAGGCAACAGTGCCGACCCCTCTGGGTTGCCATGGGGACGAGGGGTCCAGGAGAGGCCACTTCAGAGCTCCATACAAGTGCTCAGTAATTGGTAGGTGTGGTTCTTGTCTGTGGAGAGTCTCCGCTTCAGGAATTACATCATTGAGATAGGTGTCCCCTGAGGGTTGGAGGGCGGGGCTTGCCGTCACACACTGCAGGGGCAGCTGGGACAGGCGTGACAAGGACCCTGGGGATTCCTGAGATGCCAAGACTCCTTGGATCACAAAGGACGTTGAGGTGCAGGGCGCAGAGACGAGGGTCCCTGGTTTTGTGGCTGACTTTTGTGCGCATGGGAACAGGAGAGTTCTCTCGAGGTCTCTCTTCCTCCTCTAAGTCCAAAAGCAGCCTGGCTTCCAGGAAAACAGAACTCGGAGTGAACTTGTCACCCATTAGTTACGAGAACAGGGTAACCTGGTGGTGACCTCGATGGACAAAAATTAACTGCAAACCAAATGCCTAAGTAAATAAAGCCGAAGATCGAGGAGGTCAGAAACACTGTCTACTCGTGTAGGTGTGTTGTCTCTGGTTGTTTACACAATGGAAAGTCAATTCCAGACACAGATGAGGTCAAAGGGCCTAGAGATGGGAGAGGTTGCCCCGGGCAGACAGGGAAGCATCTGCTAAGAAGACAGTGTTCCCAATACCCACAGCCCCCAGCTGGGAGTCAGGTGACAGCGAAGTGGGGTCCTGACCTCCAGGCTGGACACTGCCATGCTTCCCACTCTCAGGTGACAGCGAAGTGGGGTCCTGACCTCCAGGCTGGACACTGCCATGCTTCCCACTCTGGGGCCACCTCCGGCTCCACCAGGAACAAGGAGGGCTTAGGGTCTCAGGTAGAGCAGGGCCTCTGTGGCCAGGGCGAGCCCTGTGGCACACTTCCTTAGCCTCTGATCTCAGGGATAACAACTTGTGCTTACAGTGTAGAGTTGTGTGGCCTGAAAGGGACATTTACCAAAAAGTGCTCAGTGACCATTAGCTGGAGGCATGGCTCCTTCGCTCTTTTTTTTTCTTTTCTTTCTTTTTGTGTGCCAGTACTGCGGCTTGAACTCAGGGCCTCATGCTTTTGTTTTTGGTATTGGTTGTTTCCCCCCGCCCCCCAAACAAGGCTGGTACTCTAACACTTGATCCATGTCTCCACTTTGGGCTCTTGGAAATAAGAGTCTCATGGATTTGTCTGGCCAGGAAACCTTTGAACTTTGACCTTCAGAACTGAGTAGCTGGGAATACAGGTGTGAGCTGCCAGCGCCGGGTAAGAAGTTCATTTTTTTGTTCGCATGTGAACAGTGGTGCCAGCTGCACCAGCCAGAAGCCTGGGCCTCTGCGCAGGTGCTGGTTACATTTCCAGCAGGTGCCCTCTGCCTACATCCCCTGCCTCCCACCTCCTGCAGACTGGGAAGTGGGTGGCCATGGGCTCCCGTCAGCCTCCCGCCCCCACGCCAGGGCACCGGGCCCATGGTACAGCGATGGGAAGAGGCCATGTGGAGCAGTTCCATCCTGGAGGATGACAGCCAGCCTGCACGCGCAGATGCGTGCTGAGGGACAGGACTCCGCTCCTGCCTGGGTCGTGGCTGCCAGGCTGGGGAGTCTAGACACCAGACACGTAATTGCTTGACCCAGGCTGCTGCCCAGTGAATGTTTTTGTCAAGGCCTGTGCCGTCACCCATGCCCTGGTTGTGGCCAGATGTTTTTATTTTCTCTCTTTTTCTCTCTCTCCCATTTTGGTTACATGCTACCAGGGTAGGACAGCTCAGCCTTTCCAGGGAAGGAATGGTGTTAGGAAAAGGCGAAGAGAAGCCATGGTTAGCTGTTCTTCACCATCCTGACCTTTGAGTTGTAGGAGGGTGGGGCAGAACATGGGGGCCCGTGACCCAGTGGCTGGGTATCCTGGGCTGCCCTGAGCTGAGCTGGGATCCTGGGATGACCTTAGATCACGCGTAGATGGTACAAAGGTAACGCTGGGGCTGCACCTTCCCCAGCACTGGGCCTGGGGCAGGCCAAGCTCACCTCTGTCACTGCGTGCTCCCTGGTCACCAAAACTCACCACTCAGGGCAGTGATGCCTCTCCAGATTGACTTCTAAAATCAGGATGCTTTCCACCATAAACACACAAGGAAACACTTATTTTCTAACTAATTACCAAGACCTTGAGTAGAATTTGGGTTCCACTTTTGAAATTCACCCTCTTCCTGAGGTCCTATCCAAGGGGAATACAAGCTTGGTATCAAGAGCCACTGAAGAAAAGTCCCAAGGATACTTCACCCACCAGGTACACTGTATAATGCTAAACACATAGAGGTGCTATCGAGGACAGTACTGGATGAATGGTATCAAAATAACGAGAAAGTTGCGGCCAATTTCGACTTCAATGATGGTCAAGGTGATACCCAGAGGGCTTCCCAGAGTCTAGCCTGAGCAGCCGGCCAAGGGTTCCGGAACTCCAGGGCTGGGGGAGGTTAAGGGGAGAGGTGCTGGGAACTGGGCTTAGCCGTAATTGTCGGAGGCCAAGCAGGAATAGGATCTCTGGTACAAAACTATTCCCCAGCAGAGTCAGGGCTGGAGCTAGAAATTAGTTAGTGAGAAGTTTTATTTCTCTTTTCTACCTTCCTGTTGTCCAAATTTTCCACAATGAATATGCATTATTGTTAAAACGCGTGTGCGTGCATAGGTACTAGGGCTTGAACTCAGAGCCTGGGTGCTGTCCCTGAGCTTTTTTGGTCAAATCTAGCACTCTACCATTTGAGCCGCAGCACCTAGTGGCAATTAGGGACAGGAATCTCAAGGACTTTCCTGCCTAGGCTGGCTTTGAACTGCCATCCTCAGATCTCAGACTCCTGAGTAGCTAGGAATACAGGTGTGAGCCACCAGTGCCCAGCTGTTGTCGAGATTCTTATCTAAATTACTTAGACAATAGTCTCGATTCCCTTACCAGGGAGGCAAGGAGACCTCTGGCCCAGGGGCCACACAAAGGGGTCTCCCTGCTCCCTGCCCCATACTCAGAACCCTAAGCATGGCTGACACCGAGGCCTGACTATCCAGGAGGACAGGATGTTTGGCATCAAGGATAATGTGGGCATCTCCCATCTCCTCCCTTCTTCTCCTGCCACTCTTCCCTCCCCCGCCGCCCCCCCCACCTGCTTCCTCCTACACCCACCCCAGTGCAGTGTCCCAGGAACCAGCTCTGACCTGGGGGACTTCAACACCTTGAGGAGCAGATCCTGAGGGACCTGTCGAAGGTAAATCTGTGTCCCCATCAGAGGGACCAAGTTCATTTCCAGCCACTTCTCGCAGGCAATGGTGAGCTGCTCTTCCTTGTACTGAGAAGGCAAAAAACAAGGCGGGATGAAGGGTGCCAAGCGCCCTCTTCTGGCTAGCAGTGACATTACACACACTCTCAGTAACATGACACACTCACAGGCCCAAACTTTTCCAACAAAATAGGCAGTTTATATAGGAGGCAAGAGAGAGGAAGGGTTGTCTAGACTCTGTCTGTGAGGTGGGCTGCCCATTGCCACTATTACACCAAGGGTGCAAGGTTCCTGTTTTTCCTGAGGTTACACACTAGTGTGTGGCTGAGCTGAGTGCAAACTCAGGTGGCCTGAAATCCTTGGGCTGATGAGAGGAGGCTGGGCGGGTGCCATGTGGAGAACTCTCGCAGGATTCAGAGGCTGCTCTGTACATCATTAGAAGCAAAATTAAAGGGCAGAGCCTGGTGCCAGGGGCTCACACCTGCAATCCTAGCTTCTCAAGAGGCTGAGGCCTCTTAAGGATCTACAATCTGAGGATTGTGGTTTGAAGCCAGCCCAGGCAATAAAGCTCTCGCAACGTAACTCCAATTGACCAGCAAAAAGCCAGAAGTGGGGCTGTGGTTCAGTTGGTTGAGCACCATCCTTGAGTAAAAAAGCTAAGAGACAGTGCCCTGGCCACAGTACAAGTATGAAAGAAGGGAAAAAAGAAAAACAGAGAAAGGAGAAAGTGGGGAGGGAGAGAGAGAGGAAGGGAGAGAGAGACAGAGACAGAGAGACAGAAACAGAGAGAGGTTCCCAGGTGCCAGAGTCTTAGACTATCTACTTTGCATGAACTCAGGACCCTGGGTCCTGCTGGCTGGACTGGAATGCAGAGATGGTACCCAGTGATCTCTAACGCCAGGGAGTCAAGGTAAGGACCACAGGTTCTCTGTGAGTAGATGTTTAGAACATTCTTCCATGTGGCTCTAAGGGGCCTATGATGTGCTGGCTATGCCACAGTGGAGACTCTGGGTCCGTGTCCATGGACAGTGGCCACAGGGAAAGTGGAAGGAGATGTGGGACTCAGGACTGCCCCCTTGTGGCTGGTCAGCGGTGCCATTTTCTCTTCTGATAACAACAGCCGCATTGTGTCATTTGTTCCCAACACAGATACACGGACTAGACCCAGTGGGACAACGTGTCCTAGCTCTAGAAAGAATATACTGGAAGGCTTTTTGCTATTTCAGTGAGAAGATCAGGCTATTCACCCCCTCTCCATCCCAAGATGAAGCCTTCCTAATTTTTTTTTGTGCTACTCACCATTCCTTTGAAAATAGATTATAAAGCTAGGTGTTTATGGCACATGCTTGTAATCTTAGCCACTCACAAGACTGAGATCTAGGGGCTGGGAAGGTGGCTCAGGGGTAGAGTGCTTGCCTTGCATGCATGAGGCCGTGGGTTTGATTCCTCAGCACCACATAAGCAGAAAAAAGTCGGAAGTGGCGCTGTAGCTCAAGTGGTAGAGCGCTAGCCTAAAGCTGAAGAGCTGAGGGACAGCGCCCAGGCCCAGAGTTCAAGCCCCACGGCCGACCAAAAAAAAAAAAAAAAAAAAAAGACTGAGATCTAAGGATCATCCTGGGCAGGAAAGTCCGTGAGACCCATCTCCAATTAACCGCCAATAAGGATGGACGGGGCTGTGGCTCCAATGGTAGAGGACTAGCTTTGGGCACAAAAGCTCAGAGACAGTGAGTGCCCAGGCACCAAGACATAGGACTGGCATAAAACATAAATAAATGGATATAAATTTTAAAAATGTTCAAATGAAAGTTTAAAAAGAAAACAAATGTGTTACAAATGTGTTCACATATTTCTAACCTTGGCTGTTACCTTTGAATAGCTTTCTTTGGAGCTAAGCCTGAGTGAAACCCTGGAGTTCAGGCTGCCTTTGAAGCCCCATCACCCCAAGAGACCAGGTCCTGTGAGGGACTCTTACCTTGCAGCCAGCCAGGTAGAAGGCCTTTAGAGTACTTGGCGAGAGTTCGTTCATCATCATGGTCACACACCTGCAGGAAGAAGATTGCTGATCCTGTGGAAGCCCAGGTTGCTGTCAGAGAAGTGGGGTGGGAGGGGCAAGGGGAGACCCAGGGACTTCCTTTAACTCCAGGTTGGCACCAGAGAGCTCACAAAAAGGGAATCTTGTTTTAGGGCAAAGGAAAAAACCAGAGCTACCAGCTCTTCAGCGGACAGCCAAGTAGCCCTTGTCTATTATTGCTCTGTGTCAAAGGGCATAAAGCTGCCCTATTGAGGCTTATTGATAGCCAAAATGGCCATAAGTACCTTCCTGCCAAAGGAGTTTCAATGGATCTCAAAAGCAACTTTTTTGATGAAAATCTTAGTTCTTTCCTATGACTATGCCTTATCGGTTTGGCTTACTTAGTCATGGAGGATCTGTTTACTGAGCATACACCATGTTCCAGGCAGCAGGGAGGACTTCACTGTGCAAACAACAAAGCTGACAGCCCAGTGGGTAGACACACAGGGAGACAGTTGTTAGGGTAAAGCTTCAGACAGATTGCTATATTATTACAACTGTGTTAAGGACATGAAGATATTGATTATTATAGGTCTTGGGGTAATTTGAAGATGGTGGCCCTTTTAATACCAATATTTGCTATCTCCCAATTATACATTTTCCTTTGATCAGTTGGAAGCTCAAAGCTGAATGTGTGGCTGAATGTAGATTGCTATAGTATACATGTTTTAGTTTCTCTACTCTTGTTTTTCTTTCTTCTTGGTTAAAAAAAAGAATTGATACTCTCTTGTTTTGTTTTATGTATTGGTTTGGCCACTTAAAGCCGGTACTAGCTGGACACTGATGCCTCACACCTACAATTCTAGAGGTCAAGATCCATAGGAACATGCTTTGAAACCAGATTGGGCAGCAAAGTCTATAAGACTCCATCTTCCATTAACCAGCAAAAAGCCAAGCTGGAGGCATGGCTCAACTGGTAAAGCACGAGCTGAGCTAGCAAGTTAAGCAAGCTTGAAGTCCTGAGTTCAAACTCTATAAGTGCAAGGCAAGAATAAGAAACAAAAAATGAGGAAGTAACTGGTTACCTGGTCATGACAAAGCACCCTGTACGCCTGGATTCTGAGTGGGTGCATGATGCCGATGAGGAGGTGTGGTCCTGAGTTCAGGCGGGGCTCATGCGCTGAGTCCGCGTTAGGCCCTGCTGTCATCTTGTGAGCTTCTTGGCTTACAGTGGCTGAGCCCATCCATTCTCATCTTCCTGTCTCCTTGACCCACTTCTCCACTCCTACTTCCTAATTCACGCCCTGTGTGTCCCCAATTGAATCTTGGCTGAAGACTCCCAACAGCGGGCCTCCCTGCCTCCACGGCTTCCTTCACACTGTGAAGGGGGTCCTGACTACGGTCAACAGGGGTTCGGACCCTTCCCCTCCAAGCTTCATGCTTGCCCTTGACTGAACCGACTGGAAGCTATCCAAGGTCCTCCTCACGGCCCCCTCCCTCCTCCACTCTGGCTGCCGTGCCTCCGACTGCAAAGGCTGAGATCCAGCTGTGACTCCAGCCCACTGGCCATTTTTTTTTTGGTGGGGGAAATAGTTTGAAGTCAGGACTTCATGCATGCTAGGCAGGCACTTTACCTATTGAACCATGCCCCCAGACCTTTTTGCTGCAGTTATTTCTCAAATAGGATCTTCTGTTATTGTTTGGGGTGACCTGAACCACGATCTTGCTTCTTACACTTCCTGAAAAGTGGGAATGTCAGGCATATGCTACCACATCCGGCTTACTGGTTGAGATGGCATCTTGGTTAGTGTTTGCTAGTGCTGGTCACAAACCTTGATCCTCTTGATCTCTGTCTCCCAAGTAACTGGGATTAAAAGCAAGCACCTCTAAGCCTCACCTTCTGGGTGAGGGAAACTCACCCAGAGGAAAGTTCTGCCACCAAGCTGGCCTTCGAGCAGTCATTTATCACCTAATGTCACAAAACCATCTGGGCACTGCTGCTCCACTCCACACCTGGGTGTACACACACACACGTACACGCACACACACAACTGTACCTTCAATCTCTCCAGAGCAGGCAAGCCCCAGCCCAGCTGTGTGAAGGCCTGCCCTGACCTCTGACCTAGAACAATCAGTCCTATAGCAATTATCTGCAGAATCCAGGGCTGGTCCTGCGGCTGTCAGGCAGGTTTGGTCCTGCCCAGTGGGAGGGCAGGTTTGGCTCTCTACCACGAGAGCCTTTCCCGCTCTGGCTCACAGCACAGGGCAGGGCAGCAGGGAAGAGAATGAGTCACCTGCCATTCTTGGGGCATTGTAGATAAGTCACAGATCGATGGGGCTTCTCATCTGGGGCTGAGGCAGGGCAGCAGAGGCTGAGAGATCGAAAGAGCCTAGAGAACCACTTCAAGGCCAAAGCCACGCCCCAGGATGTGGTCAGAGATGCCGCACTGGGTGGCACCAGGAAACAGCTGTCCAGAAAGGACCTGAGTAAGGAGGCTGTGATTTGGTCATTGCTTTGTGTCCTAGGCTATGCTGAGCTGCATATGCATGCTGTACATAAACAAAGGGGAGGGGAGTCTTTAATAGCCCAGATCCCATCCCCCACCCCCATCACCAATAGGGTCAAGGCCAGATTCCTTAGGCAGTGCCAAGGCCATAGCCAAGCTGGCTTATCGCCCCTCTATGCCCAGCCCCACAGGTCTGACCATAAAGACTTGGTACAGAGCCACTCTGAAATGCCAGGCCTCTCTTGCTGTGTCCTCTGCAGAGAGAGTGGGCCTCTGAGTACCTGTAGGCCTTGGATCCTAGGATCTCTGCATCGCCAGTGCAGTTACATGAAGTATCTTGTCCTGCGACCCAGGACTGAGGCACTGCTTGTGGACATTTGTAGACAGTGTGGAGGCCACAAAACGTGGTCCCCAGGGGAGGGCCTGCCTCTGTCCTCAAGGGAGCTGCTGATGTCCTGTCTCGGCTAAGATGAACTACTCATTCATTTTATTCATTCACTCATTAGTCACTCAGATGAAGAAACTGAGGCCTGAGGTGGCCGCCAGACAGACAGATCATCGCTGCTGTAAACCTCCTCTCCACAGTCAGTCACATGGGGGTCTGGGGAGGGCAGAGCTACGAGCCGCCACGTCTGTGCTCAGGGCCACCTTGGTGCGGCTGGGCACACATCCTGAAAGAGCCCAGGAGGAGCCGCCGAACAAGCTAGCAAGACGAATCCCACGGAGGATCTTCTACTTGCCTCGCTTACCCTTCCATTCACACTAGTGGCATGAAGTAATATTACAGGAAATCAAACAGGGGAGTTCTAAAGGGTGCTTTTTCTCATCATTGGCACCAGTTTTACTTGACATTAATCACACACAGGACAAAATGTTCCATTTGGGAGTCCCTGCCCCTCCACTGCGCCTGACAGCTCATTTCCTGTGTCTTGGGAACGGTGGGGTAAGAGGCCTGCCTCTAAGGGCAGCCAGTTGCCCATTGGGGCCTCTCTGTCTCCTCGGCATCCTACGGAAGCAGTAGAAATCCAGCTTGAAGGAGTGAATAAGCAAACTGCACTAGGCCCAGGGTCATAGAGAGGAAGGCTAGAGCGGCTCAGGACCCTGAATGAACAAATGACCAATTACGTTGCTACATAGAAGATGGAGTGGTGCTAATGGTATAGGTTTGGGGACTCCTCAATGTCCTTCAAGATCTGGCTGGTCTACTTGGAAGCTGTGTCATCCTGGGTAAGAAGCCTCAGTCTCCCCCTCAATGAAATGTGTGTAGCCACACACATTTTCCTCCTTTCAGGGAAAGATCTCAGGGGTCCAGCCTGGCAAAGAGCTCCACTGTGTCTGACTGTGGGAGTGCTCCACCTACAAGCTTTCTGCCACTTAGTCCTGAGGAATAGCTAAGATAAACACTACGACCACACTTGCAGTGGAGACCAGAGAGGTACATGAAGGTGATGGGGAAGCTTTTAGAAGGGTGGAGCCCACGAATCTCACGTGTGCTTTGGGATCTGCAGAAACGTCCAATGACAGACAACTTGCAGCCTCTGACTGAGCCTAGATTATATCATCATGGCTTCTGCAATGCAGGCAGAAGTTCTGAGACCTGCCTGCTGCTCCCCCTGTCTACCAAGGTCTACGAGCTCTAGGCATTCCAAAATGCAGAAGCCTTAAAATGGTGCACCAATCCCTTTGAATACCTCTGGGTGCCCCTGTCCCGTGGCTTCCTACTGGACACCAAGATGAGACCAGGGGCTGTGACTACCCAAGCAGTAAAGTGATGCCCCCTAGTGGCCAGTGGAATCAATAGGTGATTGTGATTTTTCCAGGCCCCAGTGGCTCCACACTTAGAATCCTAGCTACTCAGAAGACTGAGATCTGAGGATGGGCAGACAAACTAGAAAGACTCTTATTTCCAACTAAAACCAGAAAAAAGCCAAAATGGAGGTATGGCACAACTGGTAGAGCACCAGCCTTGACTGAAAAAGCTGAGCAAGAGAATGTGAGGTCCTAAGTTCAAGCCCTGGTACTGGCACAAAAAAAAAAACAACAATAACAACAACAACAACCACTTCCCATTTTTCTCTCCCCCCAAATATTTACAATCACTATGTATGGCATTCATAACAAAGATATTATTGGCAAGAGAAAACAGACATATCTGAAACAAGCAAGACATGAACATGACAGAAAGCCAGCTCACCCTCAGATTGTGTATGTACACACAACAGAGACTTTATTCTATACAGAAGTGAACCCTGGTGGAAATGGGCAAGCAAGCTTCATTGTTAGGATCTTAGAAAGTCACTTGGCATATCTGCAAAATGTCTCCCAGCAGGAGAACCACCCCTTCCCTTGTTATTTTATTCCTATGAGCTACCTGTCACTTCCAGAGACAAGTGCCTATTATGAACCTGCAGCCCACAACCTGTGCATCTGTTCTATTCATTTCCACATTCAAAGTCACATTGGGCACCAAGGAGCCCACTGTGTCTCCATCCAGGGAAGAGATCCAGTCCACGAAATGGGCCAGGAAAGGCCCTTCTACATGTTCCCAGACGGGCCCTAGTCCCCCTGTCTTCTTACCTTTGAAACAGGTGACCGGACTGGAGGATGTGAGCGGAAGCCAGCACCCCCAGCAGGTCGTCCACGCTTATGTCCACATTGGTCATGTAGAGGTTCTTCAGCGCCAGGGCGAAGGCTGGGGGCAGTAGCCAAGGGAAAGCCATCAGCGCAGGCCTCTGCCTGTGGCCCTGGCCCACGGCCTCACAATTCCTGAGGCTGGACAGGTGGATGCTCTTGAAGAAGATACACATGTGCAGACTCCACCTGAGAAAGTGGCCACTGGACTCCCAGTGCTCCAGATGAGCTGAAGATAACGCTAAAGGGAACTGAGCTCTGCTAAAAGGCCTCTCCTTGGAGCCACTCTGAGCATCTATCTGTGTCTTGGGACCGAGACAACTCAGGGCTCTCTATGAACCTAGAGACCCATCTCCTTACTTGGGGTCCCTGACCTGTGTAGGAATGTGACTATCTAAATACATCATGCGTAGATTGGTCACCTTTTCTCTCCAGATGACAAATAGTTTAATAATGATTTTCCTTGTAGCTTGAGGACTCCAGTATGATCGAGGACATCTGGAAAGAGCCAGGATTTGATCACCCATGAACTAGACCGTCCGGCTAGGGGCCATGATGAACTTGTCCTGCTCCAAGCCCTGTGTGATCCTACAGAGTGCCACCGTGTGGTGGCAGCGTTCTCTGAGGACAGCTGGCTGCTCAGGGCGTTTGGGCTGACCTAGCAATGCACGTAGCGGTAGTGTGTATCTGATGGTGTGACACATGCCACACAGCCATCCTTCTCTAGGGCAGAGCCAGAGGAGCACCCTGGGAGAGTGTTCTGGAAGGCAGACCTTGGGGATCTTTGGGGAGAGGAGGTCACGTGCTGTTTGGGGAGTTGTGGGTTTGGGCAGGAACATTCCATTTCCCCCAGGTCTGTCTGAGAAGGCTGCTCCTCCCTTCCCTTCCTGCATCCTTCTGGCCCTGTCCCAACAGTCACAGCTCTACAGCAGCAATTTCCACCTTCTCCCACTTCTCCGCGTGTCCCTGGTCCCTTCTTTTCGTGAAGGAATGTGCACCACCACTGGACTGCAGCGCTCTTGCTTTTCTCTACTTTAAAATCGATTTAAAGAAGACAGGTGTACTTTACCAGATCTGTTGACGGCTGGATCATTGATCTTTAAGGAAATGATCATCTTCTTCACAGGGGGTATTTCTTTGGTCTTCCCAGATGCTGGATCTGTTGAAGAAAAGCAGATGGTGGCCTCCCCTCCCCCCCCCCCCCCCGCTCTGGATCTCGACCTGCACCACACCATACTTGGCGTGTTGCTTAGCGGATGTACGCTGAAGATAACTGCACAGAAACAGGGAGTCACAGAACTTGCAAAAATACTATGGCCAGTGCTGGTGTTTCCCTTTACCCAGCTTCCCCTCACTGTCAACTGATAAATGAATTCATTCCTCCCTCCCTTCCTCTCCCTGTCCCTCCCTCCGTGCCTGCCACACCGTTCTCATCCTGTGAGGCCGGGAGCAGTGGGCGGGCAGAGTGGGCCTCCACTGTTGGTTTCTGACCCGAGTGAGCACCAAAGCTAGGGTTGGATCAAGTGGGTGATGGGGACCATCCGATGAGAGACGGGGGTGTCCAGCCAGTACCTCTTGACATGTACTCTCCAAACTGGAGAAAACTGTCCCTGAGGAAGGGCGGGGCAGCCTCTCCCTCCCCCTCCGCTGGCTAGCCCCATTCACCTGCAGTGCTCTCTGACGTGGCTTCCCAGAATGCCCTTGGCACCATCACTCCAGCCGCTCCAACCTCTTCCCACTGCTCTGCTCATCATCTCCCAGACCTGTCTCCTCTGGGCGGATTCCCGGGACTCTGCAGGACTTCCTGCTGCCGCTCTCCCTCAGGGGGGCTTCCTCACATGCCCCTTTCCTGACCCCACATGAAGAGCAGCACCTCCACCCCTGCTACCTCAGACCAGCCTTGCCATAGCCTGCTAGGCCAGTTCCACCACAGGTGTGCCTAGGAGCGCTTTGTGTTGGTCAGGCACACTGATGGTGTACTCTACCCACCAGGGTCCACCACAGTCTTACACACGAATAGGTTCTATTACCAGTGAGCTCAAGGTTCGAAGTAATGGAAAAGAATATAAGTTGGGAACCAAGAGTTACATTGCATTCAAGAAAATGATCCAACAAAGAGGCCCTCTTCCTCAGGGCCCCTTCACTGTCCTCCAGTGCTAGACTCTGCTTATTGTCTCATTCGGCCAGTATTTTTTGACAACCTACTAAGTCTCTGGCTCTGGATCATGTTCCTTTGGGGCCTCTACCTGCAAGACCCTGGCAGTCACTCATCTCCTTAGGAAGGAAGTACCCGAGATCATGCCCCCAGGTGCCAGGTGCACAGTAGACACACAGGAAGTAGTGGCTAATGCTCTTATTGGTCATGTTTTATCAGAATCGATGATCACGCTCATCTTGGCGCCCAGTGTGGGGCAGAACACAGAAGGCAACGATCATCATCACGTAGGGCTTGCTGGTCTGCCCATCCCAGATGACAAATTCTGAGCACAAGGTCTGGCACAAGCTAAACACTTGAAAGAAGGGAGAAATGGTATCAGCAAGGCCATAGTGAGTGCAAGGCAGGAGTTCAGCCTTTCCTCCGGGTTAAGTGAGGCCCAGCATTAGAAAGGAAGCATTTGATCGTATACATAGGAGGTTCTCAGAGACCAAGCTTGTGTGTTTGTGTGTAGTATGACAGTTCTGATTCCCTTTGGATTTCAGTCCTGAGAATAAGTGTGTCTGCTCAGACACAAGCAGCGTTGGGTAAGGAGCAGCTGAGCCACGTTGAAAGTCTGTGGTCTCCACTGAGCTCTTCTGGAATGTTCCTCAGTGCTGCCTGCAGGACGTCACACAGTTGTGCAATGGTTTTGGAATCAGTGCACAAACATCCTGGAGAGACACGCTGAGCAGGAGGGACGGCGACTTCTCGTGGGAAGCCTCGGAGCCCCATTATGTCACGAGTGGTGCATGTGGAGAGAATGATGACGGTCGGGAACCCTAGGAGTCGCACTACCAAATCTGCAGGACATCTCTGGTCAGGACTTGCCACTAGCAGAGTCTTGGATCACAGTGGCCGTCCCAAGGTGACACCCTCATAGACCCTGTTAAAGACGGATGCTGCCAGTCCCTCCCTTTCTGCTCCCAGACTCTCCTGTTTTCCAGTGTTCTCTCTGTCTAGGGCATCAGAGCCTCCCACTGATGGCCTGCTGAGTGCTCCACCCTGGGCTCAGGGGAGATGGTAGAGCCCATCCCACTGGGTTAGGAAGGGCAGAAACGCCACAGGCAGCTTCCTACCGGTTTACAGGAAAGCCACAGTCTCCCACTGCCACCTTCAAGGACAGAGAGCTAAAGCAGAGGCCAGGGCCCCCAGCAGATCCCAGCAGGCACTGGGGCACCACTCCCCAGGCTCAGGGAAGGGTTGGTAAGCCTGCAGAGAATTGCAGCCTCTGAACCTACACGCGGGCAGCAGTTACACCAGTAAACCCAAACCTATCTACCTGACAACGGAATGACGTGAAAAGACCTGTGGAGCACAGACAATAGAATGGAAAAGGGCTCAGGACAGGTGTTCAGGGAATGTATGGCCACATAAAAGTTGAGCAAACCTTCCCAGGAACTACAAAGTAGAGGCACGGGGTGCTACAAAAAAAGAAATGAGAATAAAATGCAGGTAGCAAGACACTCCACGATCAATCAGAATCCCATTCATCAGAAAGCCATTCAGTTCTCACTATTTAACTCCAGGGTGGAGGACAGAAGATGGCAGAAGACAGAAGATAACCAGAGTCAGTGGGAGAGGGCTAAGAGGGCAGGCAGGAGCTGGTGGTCAGTCACGTGATGAGCTCACACCACGGAACCTGGCTCAGATCCGTCCGTGCCAACCACCATTGGTCTCAAAACAGCCAGAGGCCAGGCTGGGCCCTTTCAAACCTTGAGGGTGTGAGGGGTCCCAGGACCAGGGACTCTATAGATATAATTACATGGCACTGTGGAATCCACGTAGTTCTTAGTCCTGTGCATCAGGGTCGTCAAGTAAAGCTTGGCCAAGGTCTCGGACTGGAAGAGCTGGGCCTGGTGCAGCTCCCACGTGTAGCCCAGGCATTCCAGAACCACATCTGAGGGAAGGAAAGGACTCTGGGCAGTGGCTCACTGACTTCCCCACACAAGCACTTCCTCTTCGCACCAATTTTCCTCCATTCACCGCAGCCAGGAAGCAGACGAAAGGCCAACCGACTTCCCCTGCCCCAGGGAAGTGTGGGCCTTTCAGACTTCCCCCGCCCCAGGGAAGTGTGGGCCTTTCAGACTTCCCCCGCCCCAGGGAAGTGTGGGCCTTTCAGACTTCCCCCACCCCAGGGAAGTGTGGGCCTTTCAGAGCCTTGCAGGGAAGGGGATCGGCGCCTCCCAGGAGCTGAAGGACGGAGCTGGAGGGCTGCAGAGCCACACGGCTTCCCTCCAACTTGAAGACCTGAAAAAAGGCTCTACAGGGACTTTCCAGGGCCGCTCCTGGGAGACCTCTTTAGGGGGGTGGGCCACGCCTTGCCTTCCTCTAGTACAGGGGGTCCCAGTCTCGGCACTATTGATCCTTCTTTGTGGTGGGAACTGTCCGTGGTCACTGTCATTCCTTCGCCTCTACTTACTAGACTCTCAAGTTTGGATGAGTAAAGCAGCGGACTTTCATCCGGGAGTGTAATGAGTACCAGAGCCTGCGCGGGGCCCTGGGTCCAGTCCTGAGCGCCCCAAGTATAAAAATTTAAAAACGAGAGGACCTTCCCAGGCTCCTCTGTGAGGCTCAACGTACTTACTTCTAGCTCGATGGTCCCATTCTGACTCCCGCTCCTATCTCAGAAAAGGCTTCTGAGCTATGCAGATGTCCGATTCGTGACTGGCCCAAGTCCAGAGGGAGAAGAACAGCTGCCCCCTGGGTGTGCTCTGTGTAGTCATCATCTAAAAGCTATCTCAGTGCCTTTGTCTTTATAGTAGCCATTGTCCTATGAAATGTGTGTGTGAGGCTTGGTTTCCTGTGCAATCATTTGACAGATAAGTATGGCTATTTAAATTACATGTTAGACACTGGGCAGTGGACAAGAATCACAGTACACAGATTAGTGTTTGAGCTATGGACTGGCTTTGCTCCACAAGGTCTCCAGGGGCCCCAGAAGTCAGACTATTGAAATGCTCTGATTTAAACACTGATGACAACACTCACCTGTCTCCTCCCCACTTTTGGTTGCCTTGTTGTTCTTCACTTCCTCAGAGAGGAGTTTCTGGATTTTTGAAATGCATAACCTCAAGGAAAGATACAAAATGTGGGAATTAATGCTGACATTTTTCTCCCACCACATCATGCAGCCTAAACATCCCTCGGCCACCATGTCAAACCTCTGCTTTGGGGTCATACTGCCTGGATAAACCACAAGCAATGCCACAGCCCGCCCCAAACACTAATTCCTGTTCACATGTGTGTGCAGCATTCTAAGCTACTGCCGGCTGCTGAATTAATATTTCCTTCAGTAGTAGCTAAAACCAAAACATACAGTAAGCACCCAATAAATGCCTGCTGAAGGGGCTGGGAAGATAGAGTGCTTGCCTTGCATGCCTGAGGTCCTGGGTTCAATTTCTCAGCACCACATAAGCAGAAAAAGCCAGAAGTGGTGCTGTGGCTCAAGTGGTAGAGCACTAGCCTTGAGCTGAAGAGCTGAGGGACAGTGCCCAGGCCCAGAGTTTAGACCCCTCAACCAACAATAACAACAACAAAATACCTGCTGGAGAAAAGAATAGTGTGCAGTGTCTGTTTCTAGGACGTTTCACCTCACCAATGATTGTGTTAGAAATCCTCAGTGTCTGTATGTCCAAAAATGAACTTTACAATCGACCCTGAATCCTAGCCTGCGACTACACCAGATCTTGTCTCAGGAAAGGGCACCCACAGCCTCTGGGTGCTCAGGCCGGCTCACTCGCTGTTGCCATAACCAATCACGTGCCTCAATCGGACAAAATACTCTTTTGGACACGTCCATGTGTCTTTACCATTGCCACTATGACCTTTGACCAAACCCCAATTCCCCCTCCCAAGTCCTCAACAGCCTACCAATCTCCAGCCCTCCTCTGCCTGGGTATCCACTCCCCTAACAGGGCAGAGGTAGTCTTTCCTGTCTCCTCAGTACCTCTGGGGGACAGCTCAAACCCCTCAATACCGTGAACAGGCTTGTGCTTCTTTGTAGCCTCTGCCATCCCCATCCAGCTCCAGTGCTTTCTGACAGCCTAGACGCTGCTCCTGCCTCTGCTCCCCCCCCCACTCCCTCTGTCCAGCGCCTCCTGCTGGCCTTTTGCCTTGGGGACCCAGAGCCAGCAGCGCCCTGCCCCCCGTGGTTACCCTGCCACCCCCCTCTGCAGTGTCATGCATCTGTGTCTCCTCCCCTGGGGCTCCAGGACCATCCTGCAGGTGATTAGTAAATGTGCATTGAATAAATGTGTGGTGATGGAGAGATAACACAGGTTTTGCACAATTGCCTGGAAAATGATATTAAATTTGAGTCACATAGTCAGTTTGGAGATGGTCAGCTCAAGAAAGCCACCAGCCAGGGACGCTTGAGGACAACCTCTGAGCTGTGTATCGCTTGGGATCCCCGCCACCCCAGGAGCCCGCGTGGGCCCCAGTGCGAGGAGACGGTTTGGACGGTAGCCTGTGCCCACAATCACACTGAGTACATGCTGTCCTTCCCAGGGTCAGAGAGGGCTGCAAGTGACTCAGCCTCAGGAAGAAGCGGGGAGACCAGACTGGACCCAGCCAGCCTTGTCTCCTTCCTCAACCTCCCAGCAGATTGAGTGATATGTCTGACACCAGCCAGGCAGGGTCAGGGATGTGACCGGAGAGCACGGAGGGGGAGAGGGGCCGGTGGCTCGTGAGTGCAGCCATCTCACAAACATCCCCCGCACCAGCGGAGCTGGAAGATGCTAGGTGACAACCTGGGTGGCCATGCTGCCGGTTTCTAGGTGTCATGGCTGTTTGCGAAGGGACCCCCGTCCCAAGCTCTGCAGACTTTAGGGCTGGGGTCCTTTTAGGACCTGTGGACAAGGGAATGAGATAAATGGCATCTTTTTCCTCTGGGGGACAAATGATATAGGCGCTGTAGCACGCGGTGACATTCACCCTGTGCTCTTGGATGGAGAGCTTCCTCCCCACCAAGTCCTGGCCCATGGTGGAGGAGGGAAGAAGGGCTCAAAAGAGGTCCGTCCACTGGCTGAAGTTCACACAGAACCAGTAAGGGAGGCGCAGGGATTGCAGCCCTGTCCCATGGGCTACTTTTAACCATCCGAATGGCCTGCACCAACAGCCGCTCCCAGTCTGTGCCTCCCTCCTCTGGTGTGCCAGTCTCAGGTGAGCTAGGCTATGCCCCACACCACTGCTTCGGATCTCAGCTCCTGCGGCCCAGCTTCTCCCCTTCGTACTCTGGACCATTTTTACCTTTGTTTTTGGGCCCAGGTGCAGTGCCTGCTTCCCTAGCCTGGCTCCGGTACTCAGGAGTGGGGCTGGCCAGTGCATTCCGGGGAGAGGAGAGATGATTGCTCGCCCAGCAAACATGGAGCAAGCCACTCTTCTGTGTACCTGCCGCCCCAGGGGTGTGGCCCGTGCTCCAATACACTTGAGCCAGGCGGGGGAAGAGCACTGGCCAGGCCCAATGCACCAGGGGCCCAGTGCCAAGTCCCCAGACAACTGGTAATGGGGAGAAGTCAAGAGTCTAGCCTACTCCTAAGAATCCGAGCAGATTGGCGGGGAGTGAGGACCATTGATTGGGAGACATGGACATTGATGTGAGGTGTCTGAATAGTTAGCTGGTAAGTTGTTGTTGTTTTCATTTGTCTCTGGAGGATAAACTGAGACTCTTGTAAGGGCCCAAGTTCCCAATGCAAAGGAAAGTCCGGGGGGGGGGGATTGACAACCTCTCTGCACTTCTGTCACCATGCACAGCTATTGTCAGGGGATTTGGTCCCTTTGCACCTTGGCCCTGCCTGAGGGACAGTCCCAGAGAGAGGGAGGGAAGGGGGGAAGGGGGGAGGGAAGGAGGTACCCTCCTGGAGGTGCCCCAGATGGCCCCTCTATCCAGGAGGTGTGGCCTAACTCTCAGCCACCTTCCCTCCCAGGGGTGCACGCCCTGCTCCTACCATGACCTTTGACTACCTGTCTGGGTACTTGTGAGCATCCTTGTCGTCCAGATCGATGTTGAGGGCCTTACACATCTGAGAGAGTGCCAGCAGGTCCCCGGAGAAAGGCTGCTTGGGGAAGCGCCACCGGTTACAGGAGCCAACAAGCCGGCGCTCCAAGCGCGGTTTGCACTGCTGGATAGTCAAAGACAGACAGAGAAATTTCCTCACCTTACCAAGTTGTCAAATGCGTTCCTGATCTCCACACCAGAGAGAAACACGAGGCCCTTTTTAAGTTTCTGGTTACTATCTTCCCCGGGCATCTCTCTCAAGGGAAGGATGCTGTATTCTGTGGACCAAGGATCTCAAGCTGCCGAGCACGTTGGAATTGGCCTGCTAGCCAGGAGGTGCCAGAGGCAAACATTTGGTCAGGGAGATAAAGTTGGTTCAGTTATTTTGCTTCGTTTTGGCAGTATTGGGATTTACCCACAGGGCCTTGTGCTTGCCAGGCAGGTGCTCTACCATTTCAGCCATGCCTCTGGGCCTGATTTTTGTTTTGCTGGTTATTTTGGAGTCTAGGACATTTTTTTCTGTCTCAGGTAGCCTCAAACATCAATCCTCCAGATCTCAGTCTCTTGAGAAGCTAGGATTACAGGCAGGAGCCATCAGCACCCAGATCAAGGATTTTTCCTTAAGTACTTATCTGGATATCTAAAGAGATATTACACAGCAGAGATTTGGGGCAGAAACTAATTTTTTTTAGTAAAACTAAAACTCACTATTTTGTTTTTTACACAGTGTAGAATTCAGTGGCACTCAGTATGCTTACAGTGTTTGGTGTGTGCTCACCGCTCTCGGCATCCACTAAGGGCAGGTTCCCCCTCCCCCCCTCCCCAGCCAGGAAACGCCACAGGTCTGCCTATTCTGGATATTGAAAATAAGTGGAATCGCATAACATGCAGCCTTTCCTGTCCAGTGTCTTCCAGTTAGCGTATTGTTTCACGGTTCACATGTGTGTTGGCACTGCTTTGCTTTTGCGTGTGGAATCATATTGGCCTTACTGTATTTGGCTTGCCATTCCAAGGTAGAAAGGCATCCTTTCTACCTTCTAGCTATAGTAGAGACAGTGGTAGTGATGTGATGATGACAGGGGCGATGGTGGAGGCAATGGGGATGCTGGTGGAGGGGATGGTAATGATGGTGATGGTGATGAGGGTGGAGATAACGGTGATGGTGGTGATGGTGATGGTGAAGACCGAGATGATGACAGCGATGTGGTGATTCCATCTTACTTTCAGAGTTGCTAAAAGGCTAATGTTTGTTAAATATGCCTCAGGACTGTTCCTAATGGAGATTGGCTGGTGGGAAAGCGGGGTGTGGGATTAGGTGTGGGAGCACTGACAGGTCACGGTGCTCCTCCCAGCAAAGCGGGAGAGTGGAGGACCAGAGTCGCAGTGGCTCGGCCTAGCCCCTGGGGGAAACCACAGCAACTGGTGCTGCTCCTACCCCCTGCCGCCTCCTGGCGGTGCAGATGTACTCACGGGATTCAGCATTGTCACAAATGAGAGTGGAGATGACACAGTGAGGGGAAGAAAAAAGATGAGCAACTAGAAGACAAAAGAACAAACACTGAGACGCTGAGTTCCCAAAGCATCTCTTCAAGACTATAAAGGAGACTCGCCTAAAAAATTCTGTAATGACGAGTAATAACGAGTAAGCCTCAAGCATGGATTATTTCACATCAAGAGGATATCTGGTTTTTAACAGACAACTTTCTGTATTGTACTGGTGACGTGGCTAAGTTAAAGCAACCGGGAGGGGCGTACAGCTTCATGCCCGCTCACAAAATGAAGACCAAAGGAGAGCTGCAAAGACACGGGCTGTATCATTGTACCGGGGGACTAGAAAATGATGTTTTCTGTTATTGGGGTTGGGCAGGTACTGGAGTTTGATTATTAGGCTCGTGCTCCACCATTCGAGCCACATCTCCTAGCTTTTCTTGCTGGTTATTTTGGGGAAAGAGTCTTGCAGACTTTTTTACCCAGACTAGTGTTGACCCATGACCCTCCAGATCTCAGCCTCCTTAGGAGTCAGAATTACAATCATGAACCAATGGCTCCCACAAAGACGTGATATTTTTGAGTAGGCCCAACAACAGGGATAGCCAGAAATATATAACTCATACACACGTTATTAAGGTAGTGTGTGTGTGTGTGTGTGTATGTGTACATATGTAATAAATACATATATACATATATGCTAACTTTAATTGTATCTATATCTAAATATACATAAACTTATTTTTGTATATCATTGTTGTAATTTCTATAAAGTAGATTTTTGAAAGTGGGATTGTTATGTGAAAGATACATATGTTGAATTAAACTAGATATTGCCTCCCCCAAAAGTTACAGTAATTTATATTCCCAGCACCAATTTTTAATGCTTTTTCCTACATCAATTCAAGTAGAAAGCTTTATCATACCTTGGGGGAGGGTTGGATTTGTTTGCTTTGTTAATCTAATGAGTAACACATAGTTTCAGATCCTTATTTTTAAATTGGAACCTCTGTGGCCATCAATAAAACTGAGCCTTCTTTTACATGGTTTTTGGCCTTTTGCTTTTTTTTTTTTTTCAGCAAACCACTTAAGCATGGACTTTTCCCACAAAAGTTGCAAAAGCGTTTCTGAGGAGTTTTCCATACATGGTCTTGGGGCGCGTGAGCTTTTATCTGTTATTGTGTGCCTCAAAAGTTCTTCCAGGTATAAATGTTTTTAACTTTGCTTTTACCCTACAGATTATTTCATTGGGTATGGAAAATATGTCAAATGTATATTTCTGTTGATCTCTAATTTTAACAAAAGTTGTGCATCAAATCAACATGGGCTGGGGCAGGCACACAGGCGCTGGGCTTGATCCCAACCACAATGTATACAGATGTGCACCTGTGTGCGCACAGGGAGTTTTTCCCACCAGGGAACACACAGCTGCTTCTCTGACCCCTCCCTCATACGACCCAAGAACAAGTATGGCCTTCAATTCTCCAGCTTTAAAGCTCAGGCCAGGCATCCTAGAGGAAACCGAGGGAGTAAGACAGCACTCAGTGCTGCACAGCACACAAAGGACACACCCTGCTGAACCCTCTGTGCCTGGAGAACTCCCTTCGGTTTAACGAAGGCTCTGAGCTATCCCAGCTCCCGTGTTCTTTGACTCCATACCTACAAGTCCTCCCAGCTGACCATTCGGCGTCTCAATGTCCCGGAAGTGTATCTGTTCCTTTGACCTCCCATCAGCCAACATCCCCTCTGCGGGGGTTTTATTTTTCATTTGTTTTGTTTTTTTTTTTTTTTGGCCCTGCGGGGCTTTGCACTGATAGCCAATCACTTACTTGGCTTGCTTGTTCAGCTAGTGCACTACTATTTGAGCTGTACCTCTGATCCAGCTTTTTGCTGGCTATTTTAGAGGAGTCTCATGGCCCAAGACAAATATGTAGATATATGTCTATTTAGATAGAGGTTGAGTTAACATACACATATAAAAGCTGCCTTAATATTGTTTGTGTGAGGTACATTTTTCTGTCATTTATAAGAGCAGAAAACACAGGCAACAACTTAAATTCACTAGCTGCAGAAGATTCTGGGCTCTGGCTTTGAACTGTCATCCTCCATTTCTTAGTGTCCTCCTCTCTGGGTTAGAAGAGCCAGTTCCTAAGTTCTCCTGAGTGGACAGAAGCTTCTTGCAATGTCCTTTCACTCCGGGACCCCTTCCTGTCCAGCCAGTATCCAGAAAATCCCAGAAGATCCTTAAGCAGGAACATACTTCTAAAGTGGATGAAATACACCAGTGCACTTACAGTTCTGAAGCCCCTTTGCCCTCCACGTGGAGTTCACAGCGGACATGTGTGGAAGAAAGGCGTGCTCATTACACTGCTCTCCGTACTGTCTCCTGTAACCTGGAGGCTAGTCACCTTTGAGCCTGAATTCTGGGAGCTCTCTTGACATTTGAGGCTCACCCTATTCTTTTTATGGGCCAGTGAGCTTTGATGGGGGGCTTGCCTTCAGTTTCTGGGGTCATTGTGGGCACCATGGCAATAACAGGGAATGTTCCCAGCACTTCTGGTTCCAGATTCTGGTGTCAACACAGCCTGGGGCTTGAGCGGAGACTCCAGCTCTTCCTGAGGGGGGTCCAGGCTCTTACCTGGGGCCTTCACTCAGGGGCCCTGCTGGGTCTCTGCCACATCCTCAGTGACTTGGTCTGCAAAGCTTCTGCCTCAATCTAGTAGAGGAGATGGAGCCGCCTCGGTCATGTCCCTCCTCCTGATGGTCCATCAGAGCCCAGGGCTAAAAATAAGGTCTTCCTCGACTTACTTTTATCACCTGAGTGATAACAGCATTTTGTAAGTGTTCTGCCCACATTCTTGCCCAAGACAAAGACAAAGACAACAAATATACATAAATGGAAGGAGTTCCAGCATATGCCTAAGTATGCGGTGACCAGGCCCTCAGCCTACCCGAGGACTGCTTTCGTCTCACCTGGCTTAGGAGTAGTGATGGTGAGCTGGCATCTCTTGGATCCCTCAGCCTCACTGGAAACAAAAGAGCGGCCTTCCCCGCGCACCTGCCATGCTTCCAGCTAGACATAAAGGGGCTAGAGGTTGAAAGCTTTTTTCTTTTTTTGGTCAGTCCTGGGGCTTGAAGTCTGGGCCTGGGCACTGTCCCTCAGCTCTTTAGCTCAAGGCTAGCACTCTACCAGTTGAACCACAGCACCACTTCTGACTTTTTTCTGCTTATGTAGTGCTGAGGAATTGAACCAGGGCCTCATGCATGCCAGGCAAGCACTCTACCACTGAGCCACCTTCCCAGCCCCGATTGAAAGCTTTTAAAGGGAAATCAGGAATCTTTCCAAGTGGGAAATTAAGTGCATACGCCCAGAGAATCCCCTCTCTCCCACCCCTAACCTCCACCCTGCTCCAACATATACCCAGCTAGAAAGGTTGGTGAAGTCCACAAGATCACTAGCCTTGGATGATTGGTGAAGGGTCTTTCCCTGTGACAAGCCAGTCCCCAAAGACCAGAGGAGGTGGTCGTTTATTCAAATGAACAAATAACAAGAGACTAAGTAAGCCCATGGAGAAACAGGGGAGCACAGCTCAGCCAAAAGAACAAATGAACCTCCAAAAGGAATTTAAAATGATTTTCAATGTGCACACACTTAGACAAAATTAGAAAGAGGCTGAGCACAACCAAAAATATCAGTGAAGATAGAAACTATGAGAAAAGAGCCAAGAAGAAATTCTGGTTCTTCTGAAGACTACAATCACTGAATGGGAATTTTCACTAGAGGGGTTCAATAGCATATGTGATCAAGTAAAAGCAAGCCAATTTGAGGACAGGTCGTGGGGAATTAACGAGTCTAAGTTAAAAAGAATGAAAAATGAAGGAACCCTCGGACGCAGGGGTCCCTTCAAGCAGATCAACACACATTATGGGAACTTCAGAAGGAGAAATGTGTGGCGGAAATAATACCTGGGGGGGAAAAAAACCTAAGTGCAAGGAAGGAATGATATCCAAATTCAGAAAGCAGAGTGGCAGCTGTGAGGCTCCTAGAACAGGAGCAAAGAGAGGTTGTGGGTCAGTAGGCACAGGGTTTCAGTTTCGTTAGATGAGAAAGTTCTAGAAAGCAGTTGCAGAATGATTTGCATGTAGTTAATTTTCTACTGTGCACTTGAGCATGGTTAAGATGGTAATTTTTATCATGTGTTTTTATTGTAACAACAGAATGACTGTTAGAAGAAACAGAAATTCTAATGACAAATGTTTTCATTTTGATTTCAGAGAGAAGAGGCAGAAGGGAGGAAGAAAAAGAGGGAGAGAAGGAGGGAAGGAAGGGGGAAAGGAAGGAAGGAAAGGAGGGAGAGAGAAGGAAAAGGGGGAGGAGGAAGGAAAGAAGGAACAAGAAGCAAAGGAAGGGAAGGGAAGGCAAGGGAAGAGAGGAGAAAGGAAGGGAAGGGAAGGGAAGAGAGGACAAAGGAAGGGAAGGGAGCTTAGCATCTTATCAGAGCCCAGAGTAGTGAAGGAACAATTCTTACCAGCTGTCACCCCTTCATGTCACACACAGAACACTGGCCGTCTCTCTCCTGGAGTCAGCAATCTGGGTTCAGAATTGTCATCTGTGTGGGTGCAGGATTGCCTCTCAGCTCTCACACCCAAGGGGCTGAGCCTTAAGCTTAAGTGGAAACTTCCCCCATAACCAACAGCATCCAGCTTCCTCTTTCTTCCATCATCTGTCTTCAAAGGGCCACTTTAGGACTGCAGTCAGCTCACCTTGAGTGGGGAGTCCCAGGGGCAGAGCTGAAAAGGAAAACGAGCAAAAAAATCTCAACAGAATTGACAAAATGGGGGCTCCTGAGGTGCTGATCTCACCACCGCTGGGGGCTCTGGCGGGTCCCGGGGCTTCTCGTCCTTGCTTTCCTCACCGATTCAGCAGAAGGATATAAACAGTTGCTGGCCGCCATCTTGTGGACAAGCACCTGGATGATGAAGAGGGTAGAGGCCATGTGGGTCCTGAAGGCCAGCAGCCCCATGCTAAGCAGAAACATGGGCATGACCCAGAGAGGGTAAGCAACCTACTCCAATCACACAGACGGAAGGTGGCAGAGCTGAGATCAGAGCCTGGGGCTCCCATGGGGGGTGCACTTTCCTTGATTATTATTCCCTCCACGTCACCCTCTGAAGAGTGAGGAAGGAAGAGAGCCGCGGTCCTCTTCGCTCCTAACTCCACTTGTGGGGAACTTTTCTGGCTCATCCCCCCACGATTTCAAGGGAGAAGCCCGAGAATAGCCTAACACAACTCTTCGCAGCTGCAGTAAGGCGGGCCAGCAGAAGATGGAACCACCTAGAAACAGAGCCTCTTCCTGCCACATTACAGTAGGGACAGGCTCACAGGCAGAGACACCGGGGACCAGATGACGTGGCTCACAAGGACCGAGCACTGAGGGCAAGGAGAGGCTGTGCACCTCAGAGTGGGCTCTGCTGGGGGAGAGGGACACCGAGGCCCTTCCAGGGCATAGCACTGAAGGAGAGGACATAGCATGGAGTTACACAGGGGTACAACCTTTGTGGAAAGAAGTACATATCCTCAAAGATGTCACCTGAGCTTCTGGGAGAAAAAAATGTATCCTATCCTTGGAGAAGAGAAACAAGGCAGCTCCTGAAACCCAGGAACTTGCCTGGTGCTCACGCCTGAGCCTTGGCCACAGAAAATGTCACAGGACACCAGCATCAGACCAGCCACCAGGGCCGGTGGATCAAGACCAAACAAAGACCACCTTGCAATCATGTGGAACAGACAGAACATCAACATGATCCAAGCTACACCCCTCAGCCCTGGCTTCTTCACCAATGGCAGCTTCTCCTCGCTCTAGTCTCTACTTCTGCAGAAGATACGCTGGGAAACTTGATGTAAAATGTCCTTGGTGCCCCATTCCTCACAACATCCAGTGTGGGAGTAAGTTCTGCTTCCTTATCCTTTCCCCAGAATCACCCTTTGCAAGTCCAAATCCTACAGAGCAACTTCCAAAGATGTCTTGCGGCTCCCCTGGCGGGTACCTCGCCTCACTACAACAAGCAATAGCCCCAACCTGGTCAGTAAGTGTTCCTTGTGCCAGAGCTGTCACCTTAGCCCAGGTAAGCCACTTAAGGACTAAATTAATAAGTTTACAAGGACACTTATGTAGCATGAAGAACAAAAACACTGAACATAATAACCATGCCCACCAGTTCGTAGGGGGTCAGTTAATGGTACCAAGGCCATTCAAAGTGATGAATGGTGGCATTCATTGATGGAACACTTACTGCAGATTGCAGCAGCTTGAGGTTCACAGAGAGAACCCCAGGACAAGTGAGAGCTGATGGGCACAGACTGATGGTGTGTCACTGAGCAAAAATAACTAGACATGGACAGAGGAGATTCTTAGAAGCTGAGGGCTCAAATGTTCTCACACACAGTCTGCTTGAAAAAATACATAACACAAGGAGTGCCCAGAGGCTTCCCTAGGCTTCTCGGAGAGGGGGATGATCATGTTTGCTAAGAAGGAACACTTAAAGAAGTCGTGAAGGTGGATGGCGCCCCTCATGGGAGAAATGAATACCTCTATCTCTCCTAAAAGGGAACAAGAACTTCAGGATCCCAATGTTCTTGAGGCTCCCATACCACTCTACTCTGCCTCCCAGAGCTGGGGCTGCCCACAGCCCTCCTGCTTAGGAGTAGGGGTGGCTCTACACAGGGGAGCACCCCACGGCCACTGTGGCCAGGCCAGGCAGGGAGAGGGGCAGCTATGAGGAGGATCATCACGGGTTCAGGTCTGCTTTCCCTACATAAGCCTTACACCACACATTCCATTGACACACACTTGTCTCCCCCACAGATATGCTCACATCCTTACCCCTGCTACCTGTGTGCGTGGCCCGATTTGGAAGCAGGGTCTTTGCAGATGCTGTTGGGGATGCAGAGATGAGACTATCTTGGATTTAGGATGAACAAGAAGTCCAATGGTGGGTGTTCTTAGAAGAGAGAAGAGGGGAGCTGGGTGCCGGTGGCTCATGCGTGTAATCCTAGCTACTCAGGAGGCTGAGATCTAAGGATTATGGTTCAAAGTCAGCCTGGGCAGGAAAGTCCGTGAGACTCTTCTCTCCAATAAAGTACCAGAAAACCAGAAGTGGTGCTGTAGGACAGTGCCCAGGCTCAGAGTTCAAGCCCCATGACTGCCAAAAGAGAGAGAGGGAGAGAGAGAGGGTGAGAGGGAGAAAGGGAGAGAGGGAGAAAGAGAGAGAGGGAAAGAGGGAGAGATCTGAGACACAAATACAAAGACCACTTGAGGGCAGAGGCAGAGGTTGCGTGGTGCTGGGGCTACAAACCAAGGGATGTGTAGGATTGCAGTGACCCCAGAAGCCCGGAGGGGCGTGAAGCAGCGCTCCGCAGAGCCACCAGGGGGCCAGCCCCATGGGATAACTGACTATGAACTGCTCTCCTGAACTGTGAGAAAAAAAAATTGTTTTGTGCTACTAAATTTATGATGTTTTGTCACAACATGCCTAAACCACAAAGATACCTTTGTACCTCCACATTCCCCTCACCCCCTACCCTTTTCCCTGGGGTTCCTGAGCAAGTTGGAAGCCCAGAAGAGGTCTGACAACAGACTCATTGCCAAGTGACTAAATTCCAGATTCCTATGGGGACCTGTTCATCCTTTTCTAGTCATTTGGAGGGGAACAGACAATATTTCAGGATTGGTCCTCACACATGAAGAGGTGGGACAGGAAGAATGACAGTCCATTACATCTGGAAATAGATTTTGTCTTCTAAAGAAAGAGGTTTTGTTTTGTTTTGGTCAGTTGTGGGGCTTCAACTCTGGACCTTGGCGCTGTCCCTGAACTCTTCAGAGCAAGGTGAGTGCTCTACCACTTGAGCCACAGCACCATTTCTGGCGATTAATTGGAGGTAAGAGTTTCATGGACTTTCCTGCCCAGGCTGGTTTTGAACCGTGATCCTCAGATCTCAGTCTTCTGCGTAGCTAGGATTACAGGCGTGAGCCACCGGCACCCTGTAAGAAAAGAGGTTTTATAAAAACAAAATCTAAGCTGATCCAATGTATCCGCTTCTTTATGTAGCGAGTCAGTACCTCTCATTAGCTTTGCCTTACAAATCCAGCCTCATAAAAAGGAAATAATAAGAAAGGTAAAGAAAAAGGCCAAATCTGATATTGTTGAACCAAGGCGAGAAAAGACTCAACCATTCCCAGAAAATAATTCACAGCCACACTCTTTGCCAAGATCCAAAGGAAAAAAATTTATTTACAATAGAGGATTTTATTCCAAACATGCGTTTGTTTTTTTTAAACAAATCAGCAAATGCAGGCCAAGTTTACACTCTTTAAGGCAAGAGTCCCTATGCACGCTGTACATGTTCGTAGTAAATCCAAAGCTGCTCACCCTGGGAAGTCGTGTACAAATGGCAAGACCAAGGTCAGCAATTTGTCTTTTATAATAGAGAATCAGACAATCTCCCTGATACAGGAACTCTGAGGTCAACTTGCTATGAATTAGACTAGGAAAATGCAAACCAATAGCAAGAAATCTTGATAGTCTCCTCAGTACTGCAGACAATCGAATCGACTCTACGTAGGAAGGAAGTACAGTAGTGCATACAAAAGGTGAGAAGAGAACCTGTCCTCATCCTGGAGGGGCAGCAGTGTGCCGACGGTCATATTGCACGCAACGCTCAAGTCCAAGCATTTGGTTCAAAGTTAGCTTTTCCCCATTTTGGCAATCAGTTCATCACAAATCTTGGTGAGTTCTTCTATCTCTTTATTCTGAAAATGAAGACAAGGAAGATGTTCCTGCTGCTTGAAATCAGACCAATCAGAAGGGTCCTGAGGGGCTTTATAGGGATGGGCTCTGGTCAGTTTCTGGGTCCTCTCCCTCCCAACCCCAAAAGTCATCTAAAGCAAACAACAGAAATGACTGGGAGCCAAACCTTGGCTAGGTTACAGAATCTCTTTGAGCCTCAGTTTCCTCATCTTTACTTAAAATGTAGGTGGTCACAGCTGAGACATAGTGAAAAGTTGCTATTGCTGCCACTGCCCTTCCTGCTGGCTGTCACTGGTGATTTCTCATCTTACTGGAATAGTTTAAACATCAGCCACTCATCAGCATGAAGACATAGCAGCACCCAGCACCTGGGTGCTGTCCTGCAGCTCTTCTGCTCAAGGCTCGAGCACTGCTGCTTGAGGCAAAACTACACTGTGGGCTTTTTGCAGATTACTTGGAGATAAGACTCCCAAACTTTCCTGCCTACTCTGGCTTTGAATCTTGATCCTCAGATCTCAGCCTCCTAGTACAACAGGTATGAGCCACCAGTGCCTGACCAAAAGAAGTTACCATTAGCCAGGTACCAGTGGCTCCCACATGCAATCCCAACTACTCAGGAGGCTGGGATCTAGAGGATCTCTAGATCTAGAGGATCTAAAGGATCTCTAGATCTAGAGGATCTAGAGGATGGAGAATTGGCTCAAGGGTTAGAGCATCAACTGAGCAAGCACACTGAGTAAGGCAAGGCCTGAGTTCAAACCCCAGTACTCGGGCTGGGAAGGTAGCTCAGTGGTAGAGCACTTGCCTTGCAAACCCCAGTACTGATGAAGAAAAGAGAAAGAAAGGAAGTGAATACTATCCTCATCACTTTTAGTGAGGAAACTGAGACTCAGAGACATTAGGTGTTTCACTTAAGTTCATACAGCCGGTCAAATGTGGCCCGTCTGGAGTAGAAATTCAAGTTGGCCAGGCTCTATGCACCTTTACTATCAACATATTAAAAGTGAGGTGCAACTCCTGGATGAGAGGTATCTGAAAGCCACTGCAAATAGACCCCTGGAGATTTTCCAAGCTCTAACCAACACCCACAGCCTTGTACTCTACAGAGTCACTCTTCGGAGTCACAGGCAGACACCGTGAAACGTCTTTATAAAGCTCAGTGGAGTGAAGTGTCTCATGCATGCACACAGAATTGCTCTGGGGAATTCTATCCCTGATGAGGTCCCTTCTATGTCATTAGGGTCCTCTAGAGAAGAAGCACCGTGATTAACTCATTGCTCTGGAGATCGAGTTTAAAATAAAATGGTATTTGTAGGCATATTTTTATCTTTCCTGTTGTCAAACTGTGCAGGCCAGGCTCCTTTCTTCTTTGTGTTTCAGTATGGCCAGAAAACATAGCACTTGAGCCACAGCGCTACCTCCAGCTTTTTTCTTTTTGCTTATGTGGTGCTGAGGAATAGAACCCAGAGCCTCATGCATGCAAGGCAAGCGCTCTACCACTGAGCCACCTTCCCAGCCCCAGGATGGTCTTTAAGGGAACTTTCCATTTTTTAGGAGTCACTGATTATCAACACGTAATAAATTATGTGCACTAACTAAACCTTAACACTGCAATGGCACTCAGTAATTATCAGTGAGTGAAGAACTGCTTGCATTCCCTGCTCTGACTGCATTGCTTGTCTCTGTGGTTAGAGCTGAGAAAACATATATGGATAAACATAACTGGAATATTCGACATAATCTACATTCCCTTCCTTCCCCCTTCCTTCCTTCATTTGTTTGTTCCTTCCTTGCTTCCCTCCCTCCCTTTTCCTTCTCTTCCTTTTCTCCTTCCTTCCCTCCTTTCTCCTTTCCATTCCTCTACCCTGCTTCCTCTCTATGTAGTCCAGACTAGTTTCTACCTTTTGACTGTCCTGTCTTAGCTTCCAGAGTTCTGCAGTTACAGGTGTGCACCACCACGCCCAGTAGGCTTGTTCTTTTGTATTTTTATTTATTTGTAGCCAGTCCTGGAGCTTGAACTCAGGGCGTGGGCACTGACCTTGAGCCTCTCTGTGCTCAAGGCTAGTGCTCTAGCCACAGCACCACTTCGGGCTTTTTCTGTGGATGTGGTACTGAGGAACTGAACCCAGGGCTTCATGCATGCGTGGCAAGCACTCTACCGCTAAGCCATATTCCCAGCCCCTCAACCTGTTCTTTTTCAGATGCAATCTGAATACTAAACTCCTTGGCGGCTGCCAATTTGTCATTTGCATCCTAAGAGGAAAAGGAAAAGGCAGGAGGGCAGTAACTGCATTGTGCCCAGCTGCCCGGATTCTGAAGAATCAGGAAGAGCTTGGAGAACCAGCACCAGTGAGTGGGCCTGGGTTAGAGTCACACTTACACCTTGGGGAAATTCACTTATCTAAAGGAAACTGAGGTGAAGGACCAAGAACCCCACTTCTTAACTCCCTGGGCTTTTTGTCAGATGCCACCTCAGTTAGTCACAGTTAGTCCTCACCAGGTTATTGCTGGTTGGCCCAGATGCCCCTCTGGATCATACTAAAATTCCTGTTAGTCTGGGACGGCAGAGGCCATAGGCTGGACTCCTAAATGCCCATCTGCCCATAAGGGACGCCCTCCCCCATACGACTGCAGGAAGGGCACAAGAAATGCCAGTGCCTCCGGCTACCAGGGTCTCTGATGTTCCCAGGGGAATCCATGGCTGGAAACCTCTCGCCTTCAAGAAACCCGCCCAAGGAAGGACCTGCCTCCTGCTCACACAGCCTCAGATTTACGAGAGCAAGGCTCGAAGGGACCTGCTGGGGTGACAGATCTCCTCATGGGACACAGGGAGATGGTGTTCACGGTGGGCCGGCTCTAGAGTGGATATCAGAAAAACCTAGGGACAAGCTGAGTGGCCTGAGGCTCTGTCCATGGGACCAGAGGCCGTCCGGACCCTTCTGGCTCTGACACTGCCCACTGACTGTGTTACCGGGCACCTCTGCTCTGCCAGGGTTGGGTGCAAGGGTTCACGTACAATGCCCGGCACATCACAAACGCTCAACAAATAGTTGACAAATAAATGAATGTTGAAAAGGAACAAGAAGCAGGAAGAAATCCTCACATAGGCTATAGTTGCAAGAAAGGCAGAAAGGAAGCCCGTAATAGGGCTGGCATTAAACTGGATCTTCCGGGAGCCACAAGTGTGTGATGCATGAACTTGACTGAAATGCTGCCATGGTTGTGGCTCTGCCCACGAGTCCTGCCTTCGTTTTCTGATGGACAGGCCTCAGGGCAGGGGGCCAGCCCCCACCACCTGCAGACCCCACTCTCATCCTGTTACCTTCTGCTCCAGTGTTCTTTCCAGAGCATCGACTCGCAGCTGCTCCTTCCGCAGGCTGGCCTGGTAGGCGGCTTGCTCCTGCTGGGCCTTGCCTCGTACCTGGGCAATCTCAGCGTTGGCCCTGAGAGAACAGGAGTTCTGTCACTGTGGGCGGCCATCCCATGTCTCCCTCCTCCCAACACTAGGCAGAGAAAGGGGCCTAGACCCAGCCTTACCCACTCAAGCCTGAGTGGAGAAGGGTACTCCAACCCCAAACCACCACTCTTTGGAAATCCTGGTCATTACTACACAACTCCTTCACTACCACAACAGATACTCAGACTGTGTCCCCAGCACAAGTCACGCTGAAAGACGTGTGTGGCTCAGCCACCCTTCCCCCAAACCAAAGTCGGATGCAGACTCCCAGCTGGGCAGGGCCTGGGTTACCTGTCCAGCTTCTCCTCCGCGTGCACCTTCAGGGCCTGGTACCTCTGCTCCTCTTTCTTCACGCGGGACAGGTACTCCTGTGCACATTTCTTCAGCACTTCTTCATTCTGACATGGCAAGGGGCAAGGGTTATGGTCATGAGAAGAAACCTACAGACTCTCTGATGCTGTAAACCCAGACAGCTAAGTCTGACTGACTGACTCCCCAGCCTTGGAAAAGCCGCCTCCTTAGTCGACTCCAAGTGGACCTGCGGGGCCTCCTGCCCTCAGGTGCCTACCGACCCTCCCAGCCCCTTCCTGCCTGTGCACTGCGCATGCCCAGCCTCCTCCTCTGCCTGGGAACGAGGGCACACCTTGCGGAAGCCTTCCAGGACCTCCTTCATCTTCTCGTATCTCCTGAAGAGGTCAGCCAGAGACTTCTCCACGGAGTTGAGGTCAGCCAGGGCTTGCTCCTTCTCCAGGACCAGCTGCTGCACTGTTTGGTGGGACACAGACTTCTCTCTCTGTTCATCCTCTGGCAGGAGAGACAAGAAGCCAGACAATGGAGCCTGTGGAGTCCAAGCTGGGTCTCTAGGGGCCAGCAGAGACCTCAGCTATGATTCAGCCTATGTAATAGGTACATTACAAATCCTTGGAACAAATCTACTTTCCAGGGCCTTACCAGATGGCCTCTAAAGGTAAGGAACCCACAGCCTCTGCATCCTAGACCAGAGCCTGCACAGTATCACACAGCACAGGAATTAACCTGATTAATGCAGGCCCTTGCAATTCTACACTGGAGACCCCAGATAATTCTATTTCCCCTACACCAAAGAAATCCGGGGGTGGGGAGTGGCGGAAGACGGGGGGGGGGGGGGGGAGGATGGAATGCCTCCACTCCCTTTTGGGGAAGGCAAGATAATAAGCATGTTATAGCACGGGTTCCAGAGGTGGGTCTTGCTAAGTATTGTCCAAACAGACAGAAAAGTTCACAGGGGGAAGAAAAAGGTTTCTTTATCTCTCAATCATCCCAGAAACACAAGCCCACAAAACCCATTCTGCCCTGAAGTTCTGTCTCATGACAACCCTGACATCTTCTTGGCTGCAGAAAGCGTGTGAGTCCAGGCAAAACGAAGATAATTCTACAAAAGTGTCTCTCCATGATGCCCGGAATTGAACTGGCCCAGTTTAGAATGCTGCTCTCTGGCCCACCTCTGGTCCTCTGCTATCCCAAGTCAGTCTCCTATCCCACATGTCTAGGAAACCATGTCTGTGGTGCAGGACAGGCTCTGGAGGGCTGGAAGGGGTGGGGAATAAGTTGTCTGTGGCTCAGAACTGGATCTGAGAGCTGGCTTCTACGGAATCACAACTGGCATTGCCAACACTGGCTGCAAGGGCAGCACCAGCCTTCCTGGGCCCTCCTCTATGTTGAGTACTGAGCTGACTCTCTCACTCAATGCCCAGCACTAGCAACTAGCACTCAAGAGCAGACCACGTGTCCTGAAGTGTGAACTAGGCCACCGGTTCTGCACAGAGCTCCTCCTACAGCCTCCTCTGCACTGGGAATGAAGTCAAGACTCCTTCACCCTCTGTCCTCTTTTCCAGCCCTGATGGCCTCAGTTTCCTGGATGGCTTCTACCCTGGGTCACCAGAGGTCCCATAGCTTCCCAGGGCTCAGGCCAGTCCTGCCAAACTCTGATCCCGTCAGCTCCTGGGAGCTATGGGAAAGGCTTCCTCTCTGCTCCCGAGCCCATAATTCTCCTGTAATAATCATAGAGGGATTTTACTTTGGGCTAAGAAGGTTTCTGATGGATAGACATCTTGCCATGTCCTGAGTTAGATGTATTCTTGCTGTATGAGGTCACATAGCTTCATTTCCCACTTGAGGTGGTTCTCACTAGTGAGGATCCATTGGAATTGGTCAGTGGGCACCAAGATTGAGTTCCCCCTCTTCTGACTCGGAGGGGGGGGACTGGGTGAGCGGGGAACCAGCCCTGTGCTGCAGGATGGGGGCCCTGCCCGGGGAACCAGAATTCTCCCCAAACATCCCCCATCCCTCTTTCTCTGCTTCTGTGATTCTGGAGGCCTTAGCACTCTTGTTCCTAGAAGCCCAGAGCCACAGGACAGTGATCAAACGCCTGTGTCTGACAGCCGGGGTTCAAATCCTGATTCTGAACTTCCCAACTATGTGATCTTGAGCAAGGTTTTTGAGCTCTGTGGGTCTCAGCCTCTTCCCACTCCCCAAAATAGGAGGTGACATTGATCTATCTCAGGAAACATTGGGTATTGGTGAGACACTGTCTCACTTACAAAGAGCCCTGAAACTATCACCCCCATTTCACCTCCAAATCTGAGTGGCAGAGACTTGAATGGCAAAATCTGAGGGACAATGGCTTGTCAAATGGTGAGCATTTTAACACAGGGAACGGAACAGAATCACCAATGACCTACATGCTACACATCCTCCCCTCACCAGGGCATTTTCATGTCCCACTAGCAACCAAATGCATGTCTGTATTCTCTGACATTTTAGCTATTTCCTCAGTTCCCATCATGCTGTTCAATGTACGTTCTGGGCAGATTCAGGGCCACATACGCATTTCACTGGGCAGGCTAAAAGAGTCATTTATCAAACCAAGCCCATCTGATTTCCTGGATCTAAGAAGTCTCCTGCCTCAGGTTTCCTTTCCGGACTTTTAAAAATAGAATTGTTCAGGAGACTGAGGTAATGAGACGGCTGCATAAATCTTTTGTTACATGACCAATGCAGTTAGATTCTTAAAATCAGGAAATCAGACTTAATCCAAAGACACAGAAGACTCAACAACAGAACAATGCCGCCGACCGCACCACTGCTTTTCAGGCAACACACTGTGAAATCAGGTAGGGAATGAAGCAAAAGCACAAAAGAAAAAGAAAAAAAAATAACTAAGAAATAGCAAAAGAAAACACAAGCACAGGTGGCAATGGACAGGGGTCAAATGAGGGGGAGAGCGTCTACTTACCAGGCTTGCCTGCTTGTTTTGCAAGCGTAGGGCAAAAGCAAAAAAAAAACGACAACCACAACAACAACAACAAAAATGGAAGCAAAACAGATCATCAGGGCAGTTGTTAGGAAAGCAGAAAAGAAAAATCAATTGCAACAACCTGGAAGGCAGAAAGCATTGAGCTCTCTTGGTGGGTTACATTCTGAACAGCCACTATTTGAGCGTTAGTAGAGACGGGACAGTGACCCTGGGGCTGAAACATCTGTAAAAGACGTGTGGGAGCCACGGAGCCAGGAAGAGCTAGCGTGGGTGGAGTGAGCTGGTCAGTCAACTTTAAAATGCGTTTACATTCACTCCGCTCCTGGGCTGCCGAGCTCAGGCTGGAGTTTCCTGCAACCCAAGTGATGCTGGGTAAGGGAGTGCACATGATTAGATAAATGTGGAATCCAGATGAGGTTCACGGGCGTGTTTCCATATATGGAGAGCCTCACACCTTCCCCCAAAAGAAGGCACTTACGCCCACAGCAGACAGCTCCAGTCATACCTCACATCAAGGACACAGGGACCTTGACATGTCTAGTGGACTGTGGCAGGGGCAGGGACAAGTGCAGACATATACTACTTTCCTGATAAGGAAAGTTCTGGAAAAGGGGATGGCAAATGAGGAGCAGGTATTGACGGGGGGAGGGGGGGGGAGGATTATGTGGCCAGCACCAGGCAAGAGGGAGACTGATAGCAATCTGCGGAGGGCCAAGTGGGTAACACATTACACACACACTCTCAAAATGGCCTTGGGTTGAAAATGTTCTGGCTGGGGCTGGGAAGGTGGCTCAGTGGTAGAGCGCTTGCCTTGTATGCATGAGGCCCTGGGTTCGATTCCTCAGCACCACACAAACAGAAAAAGCTGGAAGTGGTGCTGTGGCTCAAGTGGTAGAGCGTTAGTCTGGAGCTGAAGAGCTGAGGGACAGCGCCCAGGCCCAGAGTTCAGGCACCACGACTGGCAAAAAAAGAAAGAAAATGTTCTGGCTGGTCTCACCTGACAATCAACAGGGCCGGCTAGCCCTGCGTTCCCCTAAGGCCACGCCACTCCTGCCAAGGTTTTCACTGTGAGTTCCCAAGAGGGAGTGTTTGCTCCTATCAATGTCCCTAGCCAAGCATGACAGCAAAAGCTTGGGGTCTCCCACCTCCACTCCGCCCCTCCCCAAGGGCCAGCTCCAAGGTCAAAACCAGAACCGTATGCTGAGATGTGGCAGCCTTCCAGATCAGCTACACTAGCTTTACACGATGACCTCACATCCCCAAATTCTTAGGAGGCCAAAAGTTGTGCTGGACGTGCCAGATACTAGGTATTGGAAGACATAAATCCTTCATCCTGACTGCTTTTACCGGTATTTTTAATTCCAAGAGTTTTAACCTTTATCTCATCCATATGTGTTCTTCAATCCTCCCAGCCATATATCAAGAAATTTCATTCTGATGGGAGGCATGTGCTGGGAGACTCATGCAGCTTCCAGAACTGGGGGTGAAATGGCCTCAGCGGCCATGCACCACAACGGACGCTCCTGAGAGCAGAAGGTTCTCAACTGCCGGCACTGTGTTCCCAGGGACACACTGGAAGGCAAGGGGTCCCACGTGGGAGCAAAGCGCTGGTCTGCTAGCACAGGGTCAGGCCCGAATGCATCCGCCTGGTTCACAGCCTGTGGAGAGCTAACCCCACGAATCCTCAGAGGCAACAACTTTAAAAAGACTGATTATCGTGACCCTAAGCAAACACATAGATAGCTAGACAGCTAAACAAATATGACCTCCAAATTATAACCTCATTTCTGAACTATGGTCCTAAGTGTAAAATCTCAGGCTTGGATCTTCTGTAAATTTCAGAAGAAGGAAAAGGAAGAAGAGAAGGAGAAGAAACAGAAGGAGGGAGAGGAAGAAAAACAGGAAGAGGGAGAGGGGGAGAGAGGGAGAGAGAAGGAGAGAGGAAGAGGGAAGAAGAGAGAGAGGAAGAGACAGAAAAAAAATGAAAAGAAAAAAGCTCCAATTGTATGTAACTTGAGGCTTCCTTGCTTGCTTGCCTTCCTTCCTTCCTTCTCTTTCCTTCCTTCCTTCTTTCCTTCTTTCTTCCTTTCTGTTTTTGCTTTGTTTTTGGTGTGGTCCTGGGGCTTGAATTTGGGAACTAGGTGCTATCCCAAGCTTTTGCATTCAAGGCTTACACTGTCCCATTTGAGCCGCAGCACCATTTCTGACTTGACTTTTATCTATCTATCTATCTATCTATCTATCTATCTATCTATCTATCTATCTATCTATCTACTTATCTATCATCTATTTGGTGATTAATTGAAGCTAAGAGTCTCACTTTCCTGCCTGGGCTAGCTTTGAACTTTGATCCTCAGATCTCAGCCTCCTGAACAGTTAGGATTAGAGGTGTGAGCCACCAGCACCCAGCTAAGAGGCTTTCTTTTATTATGGACCAAAGCAATCTGCCAGCACTGGCTGTCAGGGCGCTGTGTTAAGGAGGACTCTAGGCAGTGGCTCCAAACCTATATATAAAAGCTGAGCGAAGGATTCTGTTCATTAAGACTACACTAAATTAGGGTTTAGGAACTTGCTTCCTCTATTCCTGTACACTAGGACCCAACCCTAGCGTATTTCCTCAAGAGGAGACAGGCCCTGGCTGAATCAAACAGTGGGTACAGAGGTCGGAGTTCATGAGCAGGGACAATGGAAAGCTCTTCTGGCAGGCATCGCTCTTTTGGGCTGATTCCCAGGAGCTGGCTCTGAGCCCCCAACCCTCAGCGCTCCCCTCCCCCATTCAGAAACCACAGGCAGGTCTGCGCCTGGGCAGGCACCTACCTATCATCTGTGCAATCGTCTTCTCGTACTCGGCCACGATTTTCCTGCAGGAGAAGCAGACGCAGATCAGACTCCAAGAACAGGGCAGTGTTTAAGCTCACATTGTGCTGGGACCTAGCATTCCACAGTGTGACCCCAACACACAACAGGACCAGGCTGGCTTCACATAGCAGGGCTACCCTAAGTCTTCTCCTTGCACACCAAGTGGGTTCCTTTTCCTAGCGCCTGATCCAAACGCACAACTCCCTGCCATGCAGACCCTGACACCACCCAGCCGGAAAGGGCTTCAATGAGGCAGAAAGGGGCTTCACAGCTACAGAGCAGCTCACCCCAGCTTCCCGAGGGCAGAACCCCACCCCAAGCACAGGTAACCTCACAGCCAGGAAAGGTAACCATGACAGGGGTTCACTGGGTTCTTCCCAAGTTCCCCACGATTAACTGATCCCCCCTCGCATCCCAGAATCACAAAGCTGTGATGGAATTTCACATCTTCACGGAAGATGGGGGGACCATAGGCCTCAGAGTGTCTCTGTGCCCTTTCTTTTCATCTTGTCCTCACAGGGACCTTACAGACTGTCTCTCAGTGGTCCCAGCATTACTGAGAATGAATGATACTGGGACACAGACAGTCACAAACAGCAGAGCTAGGAATCCTAGTTTATTATTCTGATCATAAACCAGCCCTTGCCACTGCAATTAAGTGCGCTGTATGTTACTTGCTGGAGACCCTACTTCTACCATGCCACACAAACAAATGAAAACAAATCACTTATGATTTTCAACCCCCAAAAGTTGGGTTGAGAAGTAGAAGCTGGTGGGGGAGATTTTCCACTGTTCATATACTTATGAGATTGTATTTGTGAACTCCATTTTAATCATAGTGATAAAATGAAATTACTCTTGTAAAAATATGCTTTGTATAAATAAAGAAAAGAGGATGCCACCTATAGACGACACTATCCGAGGGTCACACCCCAGTCAAAGCTGTCATCAAACCACAGCTCAGCATCTCTGGGCACCAAGCAGACACAACTCACCTCATTTCCATCACTTCCCGCCTGCTTTCTTCATATTTATCTTTCCACTCTGAGACCTCTCTCTCCTTGGTGATGACCTAGGATGAAGGAGAAGAAGAGAAGGTTAATTTCAGACCTGACCAGATCCAGTCGACATCAAATAAATATGGAATCACAGCTTCTTGCACCAAACCCTAATTGTCTTCAGAGAACTTCCCTAAGCAGGAAGAAGCCAGAAGCGAGACTTCTCAAGGTCACTGGGAAGCAGTGCTCCCTGTTGCAATACGTGGACAAAGACATTGGTGCTCATGAACAAACCCCACCATTTGCCACACAGCTTGCCTGCAGCATTCAGATTTTTTTTTTTTTTTTTTTCATGAACAAACCCCACCATTTGCCACACAGCTTGCCTGCAGCATTCAGATTTTTTTTTTTTTTTTTTTGCACCAGTACTGGGGACTGAACTCAGGGCCTAGGCATTATCTCTTCGATGTCTGCTGAAGGTTGGTGCTTTATCATTTTAGCTCCAGTTCTGGCTTTTTGGTGGTTAACTGGAGATGATAAGAGTCTCATAAACTTTCCTGCCTGGGCCAGCTTTGAACTGTGATCCTTAGTTCTCAGCCTTCTGAATAGCTGGAATTATAGGCGTGAGCCACTGGCACCTGGCACCTGTGGCATTCAGAAGACAGAATCTGTCTCTAAAGACACCAGCTCTGTGGGTAAACATGTTATTGAGGAGTGGCACAGCCACCAGAGCCACCTCCCCCCCACGCCACAAGCCACGGTACCTCTGCTCTGGCAACCTGCAGTGCAGAGTCCAAGTCAGGCTGTGGGAACAGAAGGCCTGCCGGTTTCTCTACCTCGGTGGTCCCGATGCGGGAGTACAAGGCGGTTTTAGAGATGGAGACATCGGCTGGGTGCGCAGACTCTCTCTGTGGAATGGTTTTACATTAAAACAAAACAAAAACAGCAGTTAACTTTAATGGGACGACAAAGGCAAGGGCATTCGTCAGGTCATGAATCACATTCATCCTCTCAGCTGCATGGCTTCCAAACAAAGAACACCAGAAGTATGAGAAAATGCAAAGACTAATGAATGGAGCAGTGCCAGGTGCAGTGGAGGGAGATCTGTCATTCTGTACCTGACAAAGGGGCTAATGCAGAAGCCCTGGGAGCTGAGTACGTCTGGTACCTGCTTATCACTGCCATTTATCAGTCAGAGAGCCACTCGGCACAATGTGTAAGGACTGGAGTTATTATCTAATGGGCTCCACGTCCATATGAGTCTTGCTGGTGACCAATACTGAATCTAAGTCTAGGTTTACTTAGTTTTGAATAACCCCAGATCTGATTATTTTCCTGAGACTAGATACATTTCAATTTGGGGAGGGGGAGAGGTGACATCTGGGTGGCTCCCTGTGGACAGATGTGATGCACACATTGCTGTCAACCCTATTGACTCCAACAACCTGAGTTTCTGCATGTCAGAGTTATGCTGGAGTTGGGAGTGATGTTGGCCTTGCCTGTAGGTCTGTTATGCAATGAGGAGCTTGAAAACTGGGTCAATGTCTACACTGAAAATTGTGGATCAGACCCACGAGTCATTTGGTCCCCTCCCTTCCCTGATGGACATTGGTTTGAGCCTCTTAGGCCTCAAAGAGGTGAGCAAGGGCCAGCCATCCTTCCTTTCACACAAAATGCTTGAAAACTTGCAGCCCAGTTACAATAGCTATTAGAAGCTTCATCAGCTAGCACAGCCAGGCTTGTCAGCCTAACTCTACCTTGTCAGCCTAACTCTACAGCAAAAGAAACACCAAACCAACCAACCACTCTCAGTCCTATTCATTAACCTCACAGTGCCAACCTCGTGGCTGCCAACGTGACATCCATCTGAGTTGACAGTCCAATTCAGGCTGAGGTGACAGTGGCCAAATGGGCAGAGTGGAACTGCTCGTTCCTTGAGAGATTAGGAAAGCAACTTGAGCAGTGAACAGAACACCACAGTGCAATAGAGAGGTCAGGAGGCTGAGGGCTGATAAAGGGCAACAGATGAGACTGGAAGGCCAGCAGTCTGGAGAAGGGGTGGACCCGAAGGCCTGTGAGTGGGATGACTATAAAGACAGGAACAGCCACGTGTACACACCACAGACTGGGGCAAAGGCCGGGGCAGGGACACGGGCTGGAAAACATAGGCAGAGGTGTAATGAATAGGACTGGTGGTTACTGAGTTAGGGCCTGTTAGTTGTCCACATGCAAAGTGCGCTCAGTAGATTAGCTTGTCCTGGAGCAGAGCCTGTCACCTGGACCTTGATGTCCCTGCCTGGCCTTGCATCTCTGGATACGCTCTGATAACAGCTTCCTGCTGAGCGCTTGCTCAGAGCCAGGAGCACACAATGCAGGCCAACCACACCCCAGCTACTAGCTCACGTGTCACATGTCCCTCGATCTTCTTGGCCTCCTGTCTTCCACAGGCCTCTGTTCCTAGGACTCCTGACAGGTACCAGATAGCAGCTTCCAAATTCAGGAGAAGAAGCGCCACAAGCCACAAGGGACACTTACAGAGGCTCATCTCTGCTGTTTGAGACCGTGTACATCATTCTACTGATACTAGAAACTTCAAAGAAGTAGCTGGAGAAGTATACCTAGAGATTCAGTCTCAATGCTTAGATGGATTCGGTAGCAGGTTCATCCTCCCAAGAGGACTTACAAAGAAAACAAAATGTTCCTGTCACGATCACATGTGTTCTTTCAAAAATCAGAACAGAAAATTTCAAAATGAAAAACAAGAACACTGGAGCTGCCAGAGTCAGCCTGGTCCTTCTAAAGATGAAAACCCAGAGGTTGGGAAAGCTTTGGCCTGCAGATCTCAAATGAGATCCAACTCCAACCCCAAACAAGCCATCTCTGATGCACATGAGAAGATTAACTTGTGTCACCTTGAACAGGAGCTACATAGTACCAATGAAGAAAATACTAATCTTCAAGCTGCCTAAAGTCCTTTGTCAAGCAAGGAAAGAAATGAAAAGTAAATAACTAAAACAGGGAGTAAATTCAAAGCCATAGAACCCTCCAGAACAGTTCACTGTGACTTTTCACCACAGTCACCTGGTATCTTCGACAAGGAGACAAATGGTTTTAGGACTCACATGAATGACTCCTTTTTTTTTTTTTTTTTTGCCAGTCCTGGGGCTTGAACTCTGCCTGGGCACTGTCCCTGAGCTCCATTTGCTCAAGGCTAGCACTCTACCACCTGAGCCATAGCACCACTTCTGTTTTTTTCTGTGTATGTGGTACTGAGGAATCGAACCCAGGGCTTCATGAATGCTAGGCAAGCACATTACCACAAAGCCACATTCCCAGCCCACGAACGACTACCTTTATCCACAATCTGCTTGTTCATGAAATTCATGGTGCACAGCCTGGTTTTTCCTTACAACCAAGAGTTGTTTTCAACCGCAATTAAGAGGTTTGTCTCTCGCTGTTATTTTAAGATCAGATATTTTTAGAGTAACCTTTCTTTCTCTCACACAATCCCCCACTTGTTACTGCAGAGAGGCCAAAGAAAGCCAAAGCAATCACAGACTGAAATGTGACACAGCCTCAGCTCCCAAAGCCCCGACACCTCATCCGCGCCTTGAGTCTCACGAGCGCCTCTAGACCACCGACGCTCCCTTCATGCCTGCAGCCTGTGTCTGGAGGCTTGCTGGATTTTCGGCCAGGGATGGATCCTGTCGCCTGCTGGGTTTAGAGTTCTCCTGTGGCCAGTTCCCGACTGCTGGGCTTCAGGGCTGGCACCAAGCAGAATATGTGGCCCCTGAGCAGTGAGAGGTTGACGGCAGGGCATTCAAAGTACAGCTCAGAGGTCAGGAGAGGCACAAAGGGGCTGCCCTGGGCTGACGGTCACCAGAGGGCCCAGGCCAGCTGAGCTAGGGCCACCGGGCAGGGCCTGGGTGTGTCTGGGCCACATGATCCGGTCCATGTAAGAGAATGGCCTTACGCCAGTGCCATCTCATTCAAGTCTGACAGTGGATGGCTCTCAAGGCCAGTAACTGCGTGCATCGGGAAGCGCTTGGCCACACCTTTGCCCACTCTGCACAGGGCACCAGCAGAAACCGGCCAGGCCTGACCACTGCATCAACACACAGATGCCTCATTCTAAAACCTACGCTCCGGAAATGACTACATGTTCTCAAAGCTGGTAAACAAGCAGAAGCCTACGAACTAGCCTTCAGTCATCGTCTCGAGTGGCCTCCACACCAGTCGCTGTCCTTTGGACTCACTGTCCAATGCTGGTAGGAGATGGTGGCTGGGGAGTCTCACTGTGGGAGGGTGATCCTGACCCAATTCCTGTTCAGAGATTTGTCAGATACAGGCACCTGCCCAGGTGAGCCAGGATGCCTGGAGGGATGGAGACACAGGATTCAAGGCCTCTCCCCTCGCCAAGGTGCTTCCTGCCAGGACTTGCTCCCATTTGTGTGACCTTGTTTCTAAGTCACCTGATCACCACACAATGTCTCACACACACACAGACTAAACTTTTATCTCCACGCCTCACACCCACAGGAAAGCCAAAGACAGGCTATTCAGGTTCCATCCAGCCTGGGTTAGGGTTAAGACTCAGGACTGCTACACCAACTCAGAGATCTGGTCGGATTTACTTCCTAGAGATCACAACTGAATCAAGGTCCATCATAAGTGTGTGGGAGAACGTCCAACAGCCCAGCTCCGAACTCGTCACTTCTAATAGTTCCTAACCAGTCACCAGAGAACCTCTACGTACAGTTTCTAAAGGCTGGCTCAGCTATCAATCGAAGAACAAACATCCGTGGAAGGAGGCTCTCAGGAACAGCCAGATTCCCCTCCCCAATTCCCTGCTGCTGGACATCCCATTCTTTGTTCCGAGTGATTTCATTTTTGTTTCAGCATCAGCTTAAGGCCGTGCAGCTGAATTAAAGGGGCCATCACACAGCTATATGAGAAAGAAAACCACAGGGGCCCTATTTGTTTGAGGTTAATGGACCATTGTTGGGTTAGCTGGATAGCAAGAGCAACTGTTTAAGGGCCGCAGGCAGCAGATCATATATTTTTTCCAAAAGCAATACAATGCGACGGTAGACACAAATGTTTCTTATCCTCCAAGACTGTTCTTCCTTAACAGGCTATTCCCTTCTGCATGTGTCTGAAATGTATCAGGATGTGGCTTGGTTTGCTTCTCCAGCCCACACTTAGTGGATCCATGTGGCATTTCTTCCTAAATCAAAATCAAGACACAGGTCTGACAAAAAACAACAATGACTAAGGGGAAGTCAATGATCTGTCTGTTTTCCAGAGACCATCTCTGACACGGTCTCAGACAAAGGGACGGGGTTTCCGTGGCACCCCAGAACACTTCCTTCACAACCTACTATGCCACTTACCAGGACGCATTCATTTCTGCCCCCTGAGTTTCCTGAACAGGAATACGCTATTTATAGTAGCAGAACCTCAGGCAATTCCCTCTGTCTTTAAGCCATTCCACAAGAATATCAAGAACTACATCTAGCAGAGGGGAAATCCACACTGCTTAAGGCTTTCTGAAAATCTCCCTTTCATAGAAATTCAGCCCATGCCACAGGCATGGCAGCAGTATCAAAGACATCAACAAACTGTATTTGTTTTCCCTGTCCCTGCCTGAATCCCAGAGTTCTCAGTCTGGAGACTCATGCTGGGAGGGACTTCTGCTGGACCAGTCCACAGATGAAACTGCACCCCTTTGAGTGAAACAGCATCTGCTACTAAACCAAGAAGTGTTTCTCCAGATGATCTGGTACGTGAGATGATGGGCAATGTCGCATTTGGGTACCCCGGTGGCTCTATGCCCTTAGACAAAATGAGATGTGGCTCTGTGTCCCTATGGGAGATGCTGTGAGCATCTGATCACATAAGAAGCAGACACACACAATGCTAGCTAACCATAGCTCCCTCCTTTATTGTACACCTACTCTGGTGCCAGGCTCCAGGCTACTTTCCACAGGTGTGGTCCTTCCCGTGGTAAGCCTCTTCTCACAGCTGGAAAAATCTAGGCTCATCTGAGGCTTAAAGACACAGAACACAAGAGCATTCCAAGGCCACATTCAGAGACCTTGGCTCGCTGGCCTCCTGAGAGAAATGCACACAGCATCTGCATGCTCTCAGCAGCAACTCATTCAACCTGTTCAGAAAGATGACCTCAAACCTAAGCAGAAAGAGTTCTACCTGCCCCGTGAATGTCACACTCCACTCACAAAGCAAGGGCTACGATCCATAGACCAAAGAGCCTGCTGCCTTCTTTCGTTTTGTTTTATTTAAGGGTTCATGCCTATATTCCTAGCTACATAGGAGACTGAGATCTTAGAACCATGGTTTGAAAACAGTCCCTGCAGACAAATCTGAGACAGTTATTTCCAATTAAAGAGCAAGAAACCAAAAATGGACTGTGGCTCAAGTGGTAGAACACCGGCCATGAGCAAAAACACCATGTGACAGAAAGACACCCTGGGCACGAGCCCCAATATTAGAACAAAAACAAAAACAATTCCATGTCATCTGTGTGTGTGTGTTGTCTGAGGCTGTGGCAGATGGGGCAGCTGTGACAGGAGCCACTGACCCTGAAAACATGAGGTGTGTTAACTGTGTATCATTTTACCAAAAGGACGGCGAGCCTCATCTACAGCATGATGTAGCATCTCCAGGGAGGTCTGGCTACTTACTACTGATTCTCAGTCAGGTTACACGTGAATTGTTAGAAATCAGCAGAGTTCCACAGAGAGGCAAATGACATCGTAGGAAAAAAGGCAACCTCAAAGGTAACTTTGTTCTTTCTGTTGAACCAGTATTCGTTCATTGAATCCCTAACTGCTTTGCTATCTTATTCCAGCCTTCTTAAGCGCCCCATCATCCCACACCCTGAGGCTCTGCACTGGTTTCTCTAATCCTCATCTATGGGGCAGGGCAGCACTGCCCTCTGCTCATTCCTTTGCTCTCCAGTTAAGCAGTGTGTATGAGTTACACTCAGCCCTTTGGAAGTCACACTTGGTCAGACACCACAATGCCCGCCTGGCCGATGGTTAGCGATGCAGTCCTGGGATCTCGTGGCACACACAGCATTCCCAGGTAGCAGCACAGGGCGCTGCAGCGGCAAACAGGTACCTTGGTGTCCTGGCGGCTGCGAGAAGCCAGGGCAATCTGCCTGGCCAGCTTCAGGGCTTCTATCCGCATGATGGCAAACTCTAACTCCTCCTGCCCAAGGGGTTGGGGTGTGAGCAAATTGCAGGGAAATGCGGCAAGACAGACACAATGTATTCCACACCCAAGAAATGAATGTGCCACACAGATGCGCCATGACAGGTACTTGGCAAAAACACACGCTCGGCTTTCTCTCACAACGAACACCTCAGCAGATCATGAAATAAACATTCAATTTCTGTTCTCTTTGTAGTTGTCATGTTTGTTTGTTTAAATGACCCTTGAATGTCTGTCAGAGAGTATCAGCTGATGACAGAAAAAGAAGATTTTTAAAACAGAATCAACGTGTCAACTACAATCGTATTCTTTGATTTCCTTCCTGTTGTTTCTTATAGAGTTGGCCATCGCCAACTCTATAGAGTTGGCTGGATATATGTCTCACGTGGCTGTTTAACCATCTCTCAAGGCTAGAGCTGAATGCTCGGGTCCAGGGGATATCAGATTAAGTTGTCAAATTTCAAGTACAGGGTAGATAAATCGTTTGGGTTCCAGATGTAGGCTGAGTCCAGATGCTATCCCAGGGGGAATCTGAGACTGCTTTGTACATCTAGACAGCCTGGCTGGACGGCGACCGAATGCCTTTGGTTCAGTGCGCGAATCCTACTGCCTTTGGGCCTTTCAATGCATCTGAAAAATTGACTGTTAGGACCCAATTTCCAAAGCATAACAGAAATGGTTCGTTCAATATGTAACTGCACAATTCATACAGCGCTGGCTGAAGTACACCACAGGTGTCAGTGTTTGACGGGAAGACTTTCCATCTGGAACATTCCCAGAGCTTCCTCATGAAGTCCCTGTCTCAGCTTACTTGGCACTTAGGGGTTCATTCTCTACTGAGGTTTTGACAAACTCCCAAAAGGTCACACATGAACTACAAACCTGAAGTTTCTGAGCAAATACTGGGGGGTTCTTTTCTGCTAAGTCAGGTTCCAGATAGTCAAGTGCACCACAGAGAGAGGCAGGATGGGCCAGCCTGCTGAGGAGAGCGTCAGCAGAGGCAAAGGCTCCCTCCGGAGATGTCTGACCGCCGGCAGAGAGGACACAGGAGAAAAATAGAGGAGAGGAGAGTGGTATTGGTTCCAGGCAAGGCCAATGCATCCATGTGATGGAGACCAATGCCTTAACATTTAAGGGAGTATCATTAGCTGCCCATACTTGACTGCGGGCAGCTGGAGATGCGCAGGCCCTCCCTTCCCCCAAAGCTGGGTCTTAGGTGCGCGCCCCACCCACAGGCTCCCTTCGCTCTCTAGACTGAAGATGAGAATCAAGTTCAAATTGACTTCACTATTTCAAAAGTCCCAATGGGTAACACAACTCCATTAAGGAAATATCTCCAAGTATAAATGTCAGATGAAGAACAATTTTAGTAAAAGTCATCTAAATAAATGGAAAGATGACATCAAAGGGAAAAGTGTCTCCTGGTAGCTAAGAAAGTTCGAAATCAGAAGCCAGCTTTAGAAGGGAACCACGGACGCATCTGTTTGTGAGACGGACTGACAGCTAGACCTTCGCCTCACTCACTAGCTGCCAGACACAGAGCAGGCAGGTATTCATTCAGTGCTTGTTGCATGAGATAAACGAAATCTCCCACTACAGAACAAAACTAACACCCTGAACCAATGGCTTCAAAACTGGGTTAGAGATTCCTAGGAGGGAGGCAAAAGACCTAAAAATAAGATTCACTTGACCTAGAAGGCACAGGAAGAGGGGTGGGTGAGGTCTCTGGCCTAGGGCTCTGGGTCCTGCAATCCCTCGCAGGAGCTGGGAAAGGAATGGTCATCGTCCTGGTCTATAAGCAGGAGAACTTTCCTATCACTGACATTAAGGAAAATAAAACAGCTGGGGCCTAAAAGGAAGGTGTTTCCTGATCTACACTTCTGTGCTTGCCACAGAGGCTGAAAAGGTGGAGACTGACTAATCATGGTTCCATGATGTCCAGTCCAGTTCCGAGGGGAGAGGGGTGGAGAACAAGAGAAAACAAACAATCGTGGGTAAACAAAGCACTCAGGTGAGAATCACTCAAGCACCACAGTGGGTATGAAGGGCCTTCCCTTCACTGTTACGCTGTGGGGTCTCCTCTAAGTCTTGGGGCCAGGGTGGGGTCCTATGGCAGGTGCTAGGTGAGCGATGATGGTACCCAGTGAGCCCAGTCTCATCCCTGGTGACCTCAAGCCTCTCTGCCTCCACTTACAATTCCAATGGCGTCTGACGGGGTGCCCAAGGCCATGGCCTCCAGCTCCTTCTGGGAGGATTTCTCTGGCACCTGCAAATGAGGCTCTTGGTTAGAGGTGAGCCCACACGTGACAGGATGCTGGATCTTTACTGCAGCGTTCACGAGAGCTTCAGTCTCCTCAAAACTTGACCTGAGGAAGCAAAGGACAGCTTCAGGGTCCTCTCTTGGAAAAGCCACTGAAACCAAGCAGAAGCAGTATCCCAAGGGATCCCAGAATTCCCAGGCTGCGTGCCCAGGCTAGGTTACCAGCAGCCACCCAATCTCATGGTCCAGCCCCATCCCAAGGCCAACTCGTAAGGGAGTGGTCGGGAGGGCACAGATGCCACCGGCTAATGGGTAGTTAAGCAGGTAGCCTATAGTTTGGCTGTGTGCTCTGGAGAAAAAACTGGGCATCATACCTCAGTTTCCTTTCCTATAAGACAACGCACCTTTGGGAAGATGAAATGAGATGTGGGATGCATGTAAAATATCCCACAGTGCCCATCATAGGGTGCTACCACACTTTTTATACTAATACCACTTCACTACCCAGGATTCCATTCTCCAGGGTGCCGAGTAAGTGTGAGAAACCAAGGCAAGAGCATTGCCAGCAGCTCAGCGAGAGGATGATCCCCACCTTATAGCAATGCCCCACACCTCCCCAGCCGAACGGGGCCCTGGTCAGAACACCAACCCTGACAAGCACAAACATGAACCCCTCGTAAATCATGCTTGTCTTCGTCCGACCAGGCACGTGGAAGCCAGGTGCTTGTGCCTAACACTTGACTGCTGGCCTGCTTTGTGTTGCCTAAATCCCTTAAGAGGTCAGTTTATGACTCTTACTTTATACTTAGGGAAACTGAAGTATATGAGGGTCAAATAACTACCATTAAGTCACAGCCAATAAGAAGTAGAAATTTGAGTGGTTGTTATGTTTTCTGTGTGTGTGTGTGTATGTGTTGTGCTTGTACAGGGGCTTGAACCAAGGCCTTGTGCTCTTGACTTTTTCGCTGCAAGCCGGTGCTCCACCACTTGAGCCACACCTTCACTTTGGGCTTTTTACTGGTTAACTAGAGATAAAGAGTCTCATAAACGATTCTGACCAGGTTGGCTTCAAACAGTGATGCTCAGCTCTCAGATAACTGAGCAGTTAGGATTATAGGAGTGAGCCACCAGCACCCAGCTAGAGACTCAGGGTTCTGAGTGCTATTCTACATTGGACAAATGCCAGCAGAACACTGTATGTGAATTGCTCAGGCAGCTGTGAAAGGATTTCTCCTTCGTCCACAGGGTCTCCAGCAACAGAACCAGGGCAGCTGTGTCTGTGTGGCAGAGGATGGAATGGGTCTGCCTGGGTCAAGGTCTGAATCAGGGTCAGGGTCTGACTGCGCACGAGTGGAATGAAGTCAGGACAGCGGGGTGAAGACGCGTGGGAGCTAGGGGTCATGGCTGATCTGTAACTCCCTCATTGTCATACCCTGAACACGGTGTTGGAGAATCTGACATCCGGACGGGAGGAGACTTGACAGGGCTCTCCTGAGACGTGTCAAACATGAGGTACAAGGCCTGCTTCTTCAGGGTGTCATCCTCCTGCTGAGGGAAGAGAGGCTTGCGTCAGCCTGGGCACAGGCATCACCCGGATGAGAATCAAAGCGAGCGTCATCAGTGGGAGCAAATATGTCTTTAGTTATTTAGGGAAAACACTTGGTTGCTCTTGAGTGACTGAAAGAGAGGGAGATGTGAGGGCCGGCTGGCAGGGGACAGGGGAAAGAGGAAAAACGGGACCCACTGAGGGATGGAATGCCAGCAAGGCGAGAAGGTCCAGACCGCACCTCCACGTGCAGTCTTCAGCCATCCCACTCACTGACCATGCTATCAGGGCCCGACAGCATGCGGGCTCTGAGGACCGACAGGGGTTACGGCGAGATCCAGTCCTCACGAGCAAGGGGGAGGCCAGCCTGCTGACAAGCACACCACTAAGGACCAGAAAGAGAACAAAATCTGAGCTGGGCTTGAGAGGAGCAGCTGGAAAGGCCTAGACAAAGCTGAGTGTCCAGGTACATTCAGAACCTGCAGAGACGCTCGGCTGGGCCGGGACATGGATGGGCTTATGGTATGCAGCTAAGGAGAAGGAAGTTAGGTTCACAGGGGCTGAGGCTAGACCCCTTCCAAGGCTTTCAGTGCTGACTTAGGAACCCAGAGACCCCTCTACTGCCCTGGTGGGTCCCCAAGGAAGCTGCTATACTGCTCTGAACCAACAAAAAGAAAATTTCTGGACAGTGAAATCCTTCTCTAAGAAGTGTAAGCTAATCATCATCATTGTCATCATCATCCTCCTCATCCTCATCCTCATCACGACCATCCCTGATTCCTGACCACCTCAGCCACAAGGCTCCCAGAGTACCAGCCAGCACAAGCAGGGGTCTCTTGTGGTTTCAATCCCCTTACATTAATGTCCAGCAGCTCCACTCGAATAGGAAATGATATCCCCCTCAGTACACAGTGTCACATACTGGGGACGCACTGTGACCTCAGGGGCAAGCCACACTCCAGGAAATGTATTGAGGGACAGTGTCAGTGCTCAGTACATTACTCAGGGGGCGGTCATTTTAGTCTAGGTCTACCAGGGCTCATTGTCCTGCCTGGCCTGAAGTCCAGGAGTAGCAACTCCAGCATTTAAGACCAACTTACAGCAAGACAAAGAAGAGTGTGACATGTCCACGGCCATTTAGTACCCCAAACAAGCCCTGCCATGCACCTCAAAGGCTATGAGAACACTGCTGGACAGTAGCACAGAAAGAGGTCACACCCAGAACAAAATGCCAGGCAGCAGCTATAAAGCTGCAAAGATGGCTGTTGATCATTAGTGACTTAACATGCAAGGAGGGAGGGGCAAGGCTTTTGGCCCAAAGAAATACTCAGTTATTTAAAACAATTAGTCAGCCCTCAAGATCCACAGGGAGCACCCATCAACTGGCTCCAGGGGACCTCAGATACTACATCCTTCTGTAAAATGGCCGCATCTGCATATAAGTGGCATGCACCCTTCCTGGGTACTTTAAACCATCTCTAGATTACTTACATTACCCAGGATGTGAACAATACGTAAAAATTTACTACGCAATATATTTATATAGAAAAATAGTAAGCAAATATGTCTATACATGTTTAGTACAGATACAACTTTTTAAAAAGAAAAAAATATATTTTTCTTTGATGTCACTATTGGGGCTTGAAATCAGAGCCTAGGCATTGTCTCTGAGCTTTTTCACTCAAGGCTGGTACTCTTCCACTTGAACTTCACTTGCAGCTTTTTTGGCGGTTAATTGGAGAAAAGAGTCTCGTGGACGTTCCTACCCACACTGGCTCTGAACTGTGATCCTTAGACCTCAGCTAAAGAAAAAATTTAATTCATTAATTGTTTGAGTTCACGAATGAGAAACCCAGGATGTGGAGGGAAGACTAGAACTTGCAGAAAACAACTAACACCAAACCCCCACTGTGCACAAGTTCTGACTAGCTCTGGCAGTCTAGGGAAATATTTCTGCAGGAAGCCCGACACTTCTGAAACTGTCAACTGCTGTGGATTGTATTCAGCCTTCCACGCCCCCCAGCCTCAGTCCCCCATCCCCATGCCCTGCCCCCAGGATGCCGTGGGCACACAGGATGCTCAATCCGGGGTCTGAGTTCCCAGAAACTCTGCATAGGAGAGAAGACCCTGCCTGCACACTCACACCAAAAAGGAGGGAGGCAGGGTAGGAAGAACTTACAGGTAAGGAAGAGCCAATTTTTTCCATATATTCGATTTCATAGGAGCTTCTGTAATCCAACTCTGCGAAAGAAACAGAAAATGAGATCAGAAAGTGAGATCAGGCAGTTGGAGGCATGGCTCAAGTGGTAGGACGCCTGCCAATGAGTGAAAGCATCAGGTACCAAGTCTGAGTCCTGGTCTTGGACAAAAAATAAAAGCAAGAGAAAGTGAGATCAGATCTGGGTGGGTGGGGCTCTGTGCTTTTTAGACTATCCATGGACCAGGGATTTCTGATATGCCTGACAAGAAGGTACTTTTCAGTCAGTAAACTTCCTGCTAGAAGGGGCTTCTGCCCCTAGGGCATTGGAGGGCTTCCAAGGAAATGTAGCGACGTGACCATGTACAGGGCTTGGCTGTGGATGGACCCAAGCCCTCTGCAATGCGTTTTTGGATCAGAGCCCACGTGTCAGTTGTCTGGGTAACTTTCAAGTACAGCACGTGGGATGACGCATCAGGTAACTCCTTGGAGATGGACCAGCTCTTGTCCCTCTCTGTGAATTCAGCTCCAGTGCCACTGAGGAAAGGGAAGGTCAAGTAGAGTTCCTGCCGTGTTACTGGTAAGAGAAGCTTTTGAGAATTAGCTGGACATTTCCCCAAATTCTTCCAGCAGCCTACAAGCTGGTCCAAATCAAGCTTTCAAATGCAAAGACCTGTAAAGTCTGATTAGGCAGAGAAATGATGTTCTTCAGTTGATTGCTAACTTCAGGCTTAAGAGAAAAATTCCAGACACTGACCAGGGAGTAGAAATCCCACCTTCTGGCCTGGGTAGTGGGAAGGTTTGACAAAGATATCAGCTTTATGCTTTCATTGACCTCCCTGTCCAGTACACAAACTGAGCCCCTACTGTATGTCTCCCCCTACCCTGGGCATCATGCATAGGTGTTGGGTGAGCCCAAGAGGGCCTCCGTCCTTGAAGAAGCTGAATCTGGAGTTACCAGATTGTGTACTTAAAAAAAAGATGGCCCTAGGGTGGTCACACAGGTCCCCTCTCTGCCCCCCTCCCCCCCACACACAGCTGTATCAACTCCTCCCTCCACATCCACCAGAGGCAGCCATCTCTGTTTTTAATGGTGACCATCATCCCTGTCACATAACATGTATTTATCTAGAGGTTTTTGAGTTTTGTGCTGCTGGGGATGGAAGTCAAAGCTACTCAGGGTCTCTTGGAGCAGAAGCAGGCGAGGCCCTGAGGCTGGGAAGCCCAATGGTTCCTCAGCTCTTCCTTTCTAGGGAGCAACAGAGGTTGGGTTTTTTCCCACAGCATTATGTATGCATGAGAGAAGGGTGTCCAACAAATAAACATACTCATTTGTAACTGTCAATCTGAGGGGGTTTTGGTTTTGGTTTTGTCAGTTGTCGGGCTTGAACTCAAGGCCTGGGTGCTGTCCCTGAGCCTCTTTGTGCTCAAGGCTAGTGCTCTACCACTTGAGCTACAGTGCCACTTCTGGTTTCTGAGTGATGAATTGGAGATAAGAATCTCATGGGAACTTTTCTGCCTGGGCTGGATTCCAACCACAATCCTCAAATCTCAGCTTCCAGAGTAGCTACGATTATAGGTGTGAGGCACCGGCACCCAACTTTAATCTGAGCTGATGCTCAGAGGGAGATGATCAGAATCACCACAGGGAGGGAATAACATAGAGCCCACATGGCATTGCAATCTTGCTCAACTGATTTCGCTTTTTGAAATAGACACCTTGACACAATTCACTGCTCATAGGAGCCATGACCCAACCTTCGTCCTACAGATGAACGCCAGAAGCCCAGGCCCGACTCACATAGACGGCAGTGAGAGGGAGTCACAGCTGTTTTGTCAGGCAGACCCAGTTCTCCGCAGAGAACTCACCCAGAGGCTGAACAGCACACAGCCTCTCTGCATGGTTAAGTGAGGAGCTGCAGGAATCCACCTCGGAGCTTGGAGGAGGAAATTAAATCATGCATATGAGATGGCAGATTCGGCTTCACCATTCTCGCCCATAGAACTGGTATGCCAATGTTATAATGAACAGGTGTTCAAACAGTAATTATTTTTTTCTAACCCAGTATTTCCTCTTCTCTCGGTTAGGTGACTTCTTTGTAAGAAAGTCTCAGATCACAGCTGAAGTCCTCCACTGAGTCAGCCTGAAGATCGCATCACCACTCCTGGGAATGTGTCTGGTGTCTCTGAACTTGAACTTACTAAAGGAATAAGAGGGATGACCCACTAAGAGGACTCTGCATCCAGCTTCATATCCGGGTTTACTACAGAGATGGCTGTCAGTGCTTCCTGAAACTGGAATCGAAGCTCAAAATTGCCTCACAGCTAAACTTAATAGTTGTCACCTCCCAAATTTTGACAATTATTTTCTAAGGAGGAACATTTAACAGAGTTTTGTTTTGTCAGTCATAAGGCTTGAACTCAGGGCATGGACACTGTTCCTACCACTTTGAGCCATGGTATCACTTCTGCGGTAAGAGTCTCACGGACTTTTCCTGCCCAGGCTGGCTTCGAAACCATGATCCTCAGATCTCAGCCTCCTTAGTAGCTAGAATTACAGGCATGAGCCACCAGCATCCAGCACACACTTTGGTTTCAGACTTACATATTGACCTATTAGTTAAAAGTCTGCAAAAACAATGAACAAACATTTACATCTCTGAACTAGTGAACTGTCTGTTTTTAGTACACCACAAAGACACAGATGCTGTCACTGAATGAAGCAACTGTTAACTTAAAAAGTACTATTGGGGTTTTGTATTTTCTATGGAAAAAAGCGCATATATTTAATCCCTACTGTTTAGTCACACACACACACACACACACACATCAAAATTGTGCATTTTAATTCATTCTTAGCTACAATGTGAAGCTCAGGTGGGTTTCTAATATTTACAAGTTTCTTAGCCAGCCAGAGATATGAATTAGAAGGAAGCTGCAGGTACTAACAAAATAGCAAGTCCGGTGCTTGTGCCCAATGTCCTTGCTGCTTCTGGGACGCAAACCTTCTCTCAGTCTTCGATACTCATGCAGGTGACTGATGCCTGTTACAAAGAGCAAATCCACACTAAGATGGTCACCTCCTTGATGTTGTAATTCCTTTATCTTAAGACTATCTTTAGCTCCCATGATCTCCAGAGCACTTGGGGACACAAGGAGAAGGAGACAAGAGCTCCTGCCTTCAAGAAACCCAGTTTAGCAGCAAATCAAGAAATGCTTGCATGCATATCTTCAGTATGGCATTATGCCCAAGCTCAGGCCAAGTGCCAAAGGCAAGCAGAAAGGGCAGTGGACACTCAGAGAAGGGATGGTGCCATGCCGACTCCAGTGGAGTCTGCTTAGCATGGGAAACCATCTATCAGACCATGATAGGGGCTTCGGAGACCTATCTCTGAGTTTTGGGACTTCACCGAAGTCTACCTCAGAGAATGGGGCTTTACAGAAACCTATCTCCAAGTTTTGGGACTTCACCGAAGTCTACCTCGGAGAATAGGGCTTCTAAGAGGCCTACTCCTGGGAAAAGGCTGGCAAAACCCCTGGAAAAGATGTGTTTCTGCCTTTCTTTCCCTCATAAGAGTGCCTATTAATCTTTTACTGTTTCTACTGCTTTTTGTACTTGCTCATTGTCAACGTTTCCCTATACAAAGCTCTTTCTGAAGAGTGTTGATGACTCCAATATCTGATGAGTGTCTTAAAAATATGACTAACTCACCGGAGTTAAGTGCTACCCTGAAACCCCTCTTATGGAGACTAGTAGACAAGCCATAAGCAAATATAAAAGTATTGGGGGTTTCACGAAGTCACTTCAGCAGAAGGAATTGTTTGTAAGAAACTTACAAGAAGCTGTAGGGCAACTAGAACAGAAGGAATGTATGGCAATTGCTGAGATAACTACTTAGGAGAAAAAACTTCCTACTACTCTCTCATTTACTAAAAGACTTGCTAGATCTAAGTCTCCTTGGTGCTTATTATTAAAGAAGGAACAGGAAGGAAAAAATCCTATGGGACAATTAAGGCCTCTATAAAAATAAGATAATGGTTAAATGGTGACAAACGTCCGAAACCCATTATATTTCTTAGAGATAAGCCGGAAACAAGTGCCTTTCAGGCTACCAGCTGTTGACCACCCAAGAATGAAGCCCTGCAGCAAGATTGTGTAAACTTTTTCCCTTTCAGGCGACCAGCTGGTGACCATCCAAGAACGAAGCCTTGCAGCAAGATTGTGTAACCTTTTGCCCTTTCTTATGGAGACTTTTGTTATAAAAGTTTACTATTCTCTGCATTAAATCGCACTCAGCACTCAGCATCCACTCCTAATGTGTATGAGTTGTCCCCATCCTATTCCAGGTTCCTCCCTTAGGTGTCCTCCGTCGTCCCGACAGAACCCGGTCCGCGGCAGGATGGGAACTAGTAACCTCAACAGAGCAAGGAGTGTCCCGGGGAATAGAAATATGGTGCAGGTGAGGATCATGACTCAGACAGGTGCAGAGGAAGGCAAGGGTGAAGGGGAGACTGAGGCTTGATCCTAATGCTTGTGGTGTCAGCCCAGAGTGAGATAGTCACTTTGAAGGCCCCAAACCCAAGCCAAAGGACCAACTTGATAGCTAAGCTCTGTTTTGTGGGAAGTAAGAGGCCCCAATGTCCTCCAAGCACATCACCTCATTATAAACAGAAAAGATAAGCAGAAGATCCAGAGTTCTGAGAGACCTATTTCCACCATGAACTACAACTTACACAAATGCTAACCGGTACCATTCTGAGGCAGCATTCCAGGTTCCTACCATCACCAGCACCTCCATGACCCCACCGCCTCATTCCAAGGGGGAGAGGAGGGTTGTCTAATGATACTCTTGGTCCCTTAGTACCAGCAAGGAAGGGGAGACAGTATGACCTTCCTAACAGGAATTTCCACTTGGGCTTTGCTGGTGTTGTTTGTTTTGTGGTGGGGATCAAACTCAGGACCCTGTACTTGCTAGACGACCACTCTACCAATTTGAGTCAATCTTTCTGCTCTTTTGTTTGTTTGTTTTTCGGAGGGATATCATATTAACACTGGCTGGCTGGACACTGGACCATGCTCTTTCTATCTCTGTCTCCTCAGTAGCAGGGATTATAGGTGTGTATTACCATTCCTGGCCCCTGATTTCTACTTTAAAAAAATTATTAGAGACCAAGATCCTGGAAAAGTCAAAATGATAACAAAGTCAGAGTTGAAATGCTGGCTAGGACTAGGTTCATCAGCCTCACAAGGAGGAGGAGGAAAAGCACTGAGGACTGGGGACACAGGACATCAGCCTGGGAAAAACAGACCCATCCCTCCTGACTCAGGTTCATGTCTCAAGAGCTTGCCCAGGAAGACAGGAAATATGAAAGTCAATATACAGACAGAGGTGGGTGTCAGCCCCAGTGTACAAGAATTCATCTCGTTTCCCCCAAAGAGCCAGACAGAAAGTAGAAAGGAGGCACACAGGAAGGAGGTAGCCAGATAAGCTATCTGGCTAGGGAAATCCTTCTAAGGAAATCAAGTCCTCATTAGCAAACCTGGGGTGAACCTTTGGCATGGGGCTTGCTTGAAAGATATGGCCATATTGTCTGACCATCTCATGGGGGGCTAGAGACAATGGTGGCACCAAGAGACACCCCCCCCCCGGGGCGGGTCTCTGCCCTACACGCTGAGCAAGGAGCAGAACACTCAGTCCCAGGACCTGGACTCGAGGCCACCAGGCTGGTACTTAGCAGGCATTGCGGGGTCAAGGGGCAGCTGGTTTCGATTCAGTGCAGCCTTAGCTTCCAGTGGTCAGATCAGTTACCTGGCTGAGCAGTGTCTCTCCTGGCCTTGCTCTCTCTAAAGGCAGTATGATCCGAGGTAGGGTAGGGGTCCAGCTGGCCACCCAGTTGCTTACCCTCCGTGGGTGAGTTGAATTTGGTCTCATTTACGAAGGTAGACAGATCTGAGGGCTGCGGGAAGTCCTGCTTGTCGGCCTCCAGGTCCACCGTCATGCACGTCCACTTCTGACTGGTGACCGCCAGCTTCTCCTCATCAGTCGCGTGGACCACTGCAGAGATCACTGGGGGGGCTTCTGGGGTGGAGTCCGGAGTGGAGTCCTGTAAGGAACCGGAAAGCTGTCTCTCCTCTCCTTCAGAGTGTCAGTCAGAAACAGTACCCATCCAACCCATGTGTCTGAAGCCCAATTAACCAGGCCAGGTCCCTGTCAGAATCCTGCACCCACTATCCTCAGCTTCTGCTGCTAATGGCCCTTCAAGGACACCCATTCCTTCCTCTATGAATCTTCTTTTCTGGTGTCTGGTTTCAGGGACTAACTTTGAGTTACAAAACAACAAAAAAATCAAAATAACAGAATTTTTGAGTCTGGGTTATCCAAGATATTCCTGCCAGCTTTCTTCTTCTAACTGCTGCATTAAGCTCATTCTGGCTTCAAATATGGAAATGTCAGTATCACCCGGCAATCCCCATGCCAGTCCCTGGGAGGAGAAGGGGGGTCTCACTGTCATTCCAAAGGTCAGCATGGAGCTGCAAAGGGGAACCCAGAGGTTAAGGCAGAACTTGTGACTAGCCCAAAGCCCCCTATTCCTGGAGCTGGGGCCTCCATCATTCCCACAGTTCCAGCCCTAGCCAGGATCTGTGGCTTTACGGGTTTGGGTCTGGAAAGATGGACCGTTTGCTTCTTTCGGACCCAGGAACAGTGTGGTAAACCTGCCTGGGGCCCCCCTTCCTTGGTCTAAAAGGAGGGAAGGAAAAACTGATACAAACTCAGTAGATGAACCACCAATTCACGCAAATAATCTAGTGTCCCCTTCTTCAGAGGACACAGTTTCTTCATCTTTCCACTCTGGTAGAATAATTCGGTGACCCTAACACATATTCAGACTTTTCACCTTCTCATTCTGTTTTCATTGATCTTTAAAGGTTTTCTCAACTTGACAAAAGTAAGTTCTCCGAAAGTTAAATGGATAAAATGAACCAGAATGGTCCTTCCTATAGAATTCAGCCATTTTGGGCTGGGACAAATGGGAGGAGAATCATAGAAGGGGTAACAATGATCAAGACACACTATAGTCATAAACTGACATGTTGAATCAAACCCCTTTGGACAACTACTTAAAGATAATAATAAAGAAGCCAATGATCCTGCTCCTTTCTCATCCTTGGCAAAGTGAAGGGATGAAAGGAATCTTCGTGGGAATTCCTCTAAGCGGAGGCAGCAGGGCCTTGGAGATACACCATCAAGAGCAGGAAGGCGATCAAAACTAGAAAGAAGCCTGGCTGTGGGAGCTGCCCAGGTAAGCTACAAAACCAGAAACATCAAAAGAACAGGTACCTGTGATGGTAGATCTGAGAGAGGGCACCGTTTTGGCGACTTTTTCACCCTAAATGTGTCACTGGAAACAAAATGGAAAGTATAAACACGTAGTAATGAGCAATAGAGGCTGCAACCACAGCCTGTGCCCAGACCACTCCCACCTGCCCATCCTAACACCAGCAACATTGTCCACGCCAACAACTCATTCTGACGTCTTAACAGATGTTATTTTTGCCCCCAAGGGAAGAATTCATCAAGCTAACAATCGCTAAAGAGATGCCATTTTGGAGAGCTGACCCAGAAAATGAAGCGAATTTTAATTCGATGTTCTTATTTTACCAAGCAAAAATTTCTCGGTGAGATTAATGTTTCTCAATTCTTTCAGGAATGTCTGAGCCAACTAAGGTTGGAGGAGAGGCTCCTGAAACCAATCAACAGCACCCAATTTTCACATGGGGGCAGCCACCCACTCCCAATGAGCCAAAGGGGCCTATGCAGAAAGAGAAAGTGCTGGAAGAATCTTCCAGAACATAGGAGTTCCTGTGCTCTGATGGGTCCTATGATTTTAAGCAGGGTAAGATTTTGTATGACCAAAGTCAAGACACATAGACATTTTCTCCTTTTCTTTCTCCTTCCTTTAGATAGTTGGGGAGGGGGCATTAGATAGTGGGGAAGGAGTGGCATTAGATAGTTGGGGAGGACACGTCCCAGCAGCCCCCAGAGAAAGGGTTGCCTTCAACAGCAGCGTTAGGTCCATTGTGCGGTCAGGAGTCATGTCCACGGTCAACATGCAGACCCTCTCCACCCCACAGAGGGGCCCTTTGCTCTGGTCTCCATCCCCACCCTGGTAGGGTCTGACTCCCAGCCACGCAAGGGGGAGGTGGCCTTCACCTTAAATCCTGCCACCCTCCCTCCTCTGCTTTCCAAATGAACTGAATTAACAAGACAAATCTGCCATTCCCCCTCTCCCCCCCCTCCCGCTCTCAGGTTCCGTCCTTGTGTTCTCTCAAACAAAACACTCCAACAATGGCATTTGATCATGGAAAGAAAATTAGGAATGATTGCTTTATAGCATTTATGGCATTCATACTATACAAATAGTACCATCACAGCTCAAAGCATGTATTTATGCATGCATATAAATATATAACAGTTACTAAATGACTTGTAATTACTAAAGAAATCCCCCGGGGCAGAAAAGCGCTTGAGACTCTGTATGATCCCAGAGCTGCCTGACACCAGGTTCAGAACAAATTCCCTTGGAAAGGCAAGGTGAAGGCACTTGTTTTCAGAACCCTGAGGGTCTCAAGAGTTCTCCCACCAGGGGGCAGAGCAGCAGAAGCACACAGGCAGCCCGCTACACTGACACCTAGCATGGATGTAAGTTCAGTGACAAAGGATGTAGGCCAGGGCAGCCTGGAGATGGCTCGTAGCGTGAGCTCCACTCTGAGCTGACCCTGCATTTCAAGGGGTTCCCATGGACCCCAACGCACAATGACCCCAATGGTTTGTTTCACACAGCCTCAGCATTCTGCCCGGGATTTCTGGGTGGTTAAAGTGAAGCCATGGTGCTACTGAAAGCAATCACTCACCAGCCCGACTTAGAATGAGAGAAATGGAGTTAAAAAAAAAAAAAAAAGTCCAGGTTTTTAAATGAAGAGGTCCAAATGCGAAAGAGGGAAAAGTTTCCATTGCTGACAGGCAGGCAGCCATTAGATAATCGTGTCCTCACAGACATGCAGCCTCGCTCACACTCACCACAATGAACAGGAAAGTAACCTCTGCTACTGGAGGGCCCTGGGCCCCGACATTCCCAGGCTTAGCACAGAAACACAGAAGCAGCAGCAGCCACAGAAAGGAAACTTAAAAAAAAAAAAAAAGATTGCAAGCAGAAACAAAAGACAGAAAAGAAATGGAGCATAGGAGGCAGATTACATTAAATTTACTTACAACAGAGAACACACAGACATCATATCTTCAACCATCCTAAGACGAGAAGACAAAGAAAAAGAGAGACAGACAGGAGGAACTGACAAAAAGATAAATCTGCAGACGCTGGGTCTAGCCACGTAGGATGTGGCAGCATCCACGGCAGGCCACTCAGGGGCCACAGCGGACCTTAGGGATGGGCTCCCTCTCTGGGTATTGGTCATCCAGTTGTTGACCTGTTAAAAGTTTTGTCACCTGGGGTAGGTTCTTCCAAGTCACCATACCCATCTGTTTTATGATGAGTCTACCGAGGTGTGAGGCCAAGCTTCCCCAGTCTGTGTTAGCTGTGGCCATCCAAGAGGAATGGCTTTGGGGGCACAATGTCACCAGGCTCCCTCAAAGGGGGAGGCTACCAGGTATCCATTCTTACGCCAAGACACAGTTTTGCAGTGTCAGTATTTCCAATTTCTATTCCGGTCATAACCAAAGTCCTACAGTATCTCTAGGATCGCCTGGCTGGGAAACAGATCTAAGCCCACCATTTTGGGCCATGATGGCCTCCTGGCTACCACCAGCTGATAGAGGGGTGACCCAAGGTCCAAGCCCTTCTCAGGAAGCCTGGGCTGTTCTCAGATGCTTAATGTGAGGGGGAAACCCAGATTGGAGGCAAATGGGTCTCCCCATATCATCTGTGCAGGTAAATATGGAAGGGCCAACAATGTGACCCATTTGTCACTGCTCTAGGAGACAAGACCTGTCAGTCTTGTTAAATTGTAGAGTGGGGGTCTGGGGAGGCAGCCGGAGGCTCTGGCACACGGAACTAAGGTACTGATCTCATTAGTGCTTACGAAGGCCTTTGAACTCTTATCTGCAAAAGATGGCCAGAGAGAGGGAAGAAGACAAGGAGGCATCTCTTTTTGTTGTTGTTTGTTGTGAGACCTGAACTCTGGGCCTGGGAGATACCCTCAGCTCTTCAGCTCAAGACTAGTACTCTACCACTTGGGCCACAGTGCCACTTCTAGCCTTTTCTGCTTATGTGGTGCTGAGGAATTGAACCCAGGGCCTCATGCACACAAGGCAAGCCCTACCACTGAGCCGCCTTCTCAGCCCCCAAAGGAAGCATCTCTTATAGGCTGGTCAGGGCAGCAAAAGTATCTTTCTGTCATGTGCCCCCAGTGCCTACTAGTTACTGTGTTGGACTCTTGGGCTAAATCTTATTAATGGCAGAATCAAATGCTATTTAACAGGGTATATAATATACAGGATATATATCCTGATTTCTCCAAAAGGCAATGTACACATAGCAGGGAAAAGGGTCAGTCACCAATGGCCTGGGTCTCTCATGATCGCTCCCTTCTTACAGGGCCTCCCACTCTCATCTAGAATAGAAAGTTAGATTTCTGGCTGACCATAAAAACTTTAGACCAGCCCGCGCCCATGGCTCACGCCTGTAATCCTAAGCTACTCAGGAGGCTGAGATCTGAGGGTCACAGTTCAAGGCCAGAAACGTCTTCTCTCTCATTAACCACTCAAAAAATGGAAGTGGCACTGTGGCTTAAAGTGGTAAGAGAGCCTTGAGCAAAAGAACTCAGGGACAGAGCCAAGGCCTTGATTTCAAGCCCAATGACCAATCAAATAAAAACAACGCAAACAAAACAAAACTTTAGACCTCTCACTAAGGCAAAAAGAATAAATCAAATCAAATCCAGGACTCCTGACTCCACAGGGGATTCTTAGCAAACAGTCACCACTATGGCCACAGAGAGGAAACATGGTGGAATTGCAGCAATGGGGGGGGGGGAGGCTAGCCAGGCACAGACCAAGGGTCACAGCCACGTGCACCCCAACTCAATCCTCTCCACCTCCACCCTTTTGAACTTACGTCTTCAGGGGCGTTTTCTTCTTCTTGGCGGGCTTGTTCAGTCCGTCCCCGTCCATTCCATTGGCTTCCATGGCACTAGCTGGGATCTCAAAGGAGGCCGGGGATTTGGAAGGGGAGCCGGAGGTCTTAAAGGGGTCAAGGGACTCATCACAGGCATCGGGGTCAAAGGTGTATGATTGTTGGGGCAGTTTGGGAGACTCCTGCATTTTTGAGGTGGAAGAGAAAGGGTTGAAATTGGGGTCATCCCACTTGTCGATGTCAAAGGTGTAGGTGCCTTTGGCAATGGGGATGTCATTGGGGTCGGCGGGGGATCGCGTGGGCGAGGCGGGAGTGGTGTCAACTTTCTCGGGGGTCTTCTTCACCTTTGGCCTCCTTAGGGGCATCTTGACAACTGGCTTCTTGCCTAGCTTTTTGGTGGGAGGGGGGTTTTCCTGCTGGCTGTCCTCAGAATAGTCAAACTCCAGCCTCACCGAGAGCCCTTTGGCTGGGGGGTCCTCCTGCTCCCCACTGTCCGATGGGGCCACCTCCCCGTCCTCGGGAGCCGTGGAAAGAGGCACCGTTTTCCTCCCAACAGGGGGTGAGTTCTGCACTCTGCCGCCTCCCGAGGCTGGGGGTCCCACGTCCTCTACAGCCTCTGGCTCTGGAGGACAGGTGGCCTGAGGCACAGTGGGGGGTTCTGGGGGCGTCTCCTCCAACACAGCGGATCCGGAAGCTTCTGCAGTGGATGGCTCCGTCTTTGACTCGGAGGCCGGGTGCTCCTCGCTGGGGATGGGCCTCTCCTCGGCCAGCTCTTGCTGGCTCTCCTTCACCGGCGGGGTTTCCGTGGGCTTCTTGGTGGTCTGCTTCTTTTTTAAGGAAGGTGGCCGTGGTTTTTTAGTTCGCTTAAGGGTACTGGAGGCGCTGCTGGACCCCGTGCTGCACCCATCGGGGACGAGGGCCACGGCCTCGGGGCTGCCTGGGCAGGTGGCACCGTCAAAGTCGCCGGCTTGCAGGCTGAGCGAGCGGGACAGCGTGGACTTGGAGGGCGGCGTGGATTCGGTAGACTTCCTCCGCGTGCTCACCTTGCACTCCTGTCCCTTACAGTCTGAGGCGCCAGGCTCCGAGCTCTGCAAGTCATCCACCAGCTCGATGCTGTCAAAGTCCAGGTTGTAAGTCCCACTGCTGGCTATGGGCTTGTCTTCATCGAAGACGGCAGAGGAGGAGTGTGGAGGTCGGAAAGGGCTTCCTTCCACCGAGTCACCACGTGGGCCATCGGGGACCGTGACTGGCTCAGAAACGCATCCTGAGGAAAGAGAGACAAAGCCATCACTTGAAGATACTCAACATGTGGGAGCATTTGTCATCTTGTACCAGATCTTCACCCTCCACAGAAGAGGCTGACCAACTCTAGGCCTCGGGCCCCCTAGGCTCAGCCACAGGTACCTGGCTTGGGTACAGACCTTGGTTCTATCTGCTATCACATCCTGGGCAGATGAGGGCAGATCAAGGAGCCGCTCCAATGCCTCATTCAAAACACATTTACTAAGCCAGGATGATACCTGTAATCCTAGCTACTCAGGAGGCTGAGATCTGAGGACTGTGGTTCACAAAGTCTACAGGATTCTCTCTCTAAAAATAGCCAGCAAAGTAACTGAACTGGAGCCATGGTCCAAGTGGTAGAACAACAGCGTAGCAAGCAAGCTGAAAGAGTACAAGGCCTGGACAGCCTGGTACCAGCATTCAATCAATCAATCTATAAGGCATTTAAAAATTGCCAAGTGCCTGATGCAGACTAGTGATCAGGTTGGGGAATCAACTATGAAACAAAGTAGAAACAGTCTCTGCCTTCCCAGAAGTCACATTCTTCAGAAAGAAATCAAAGAAGAAACAAGCATATGATAACAGAGAGGTCCAGATGATAATAGACACTAAGGAGAAAAACAGAATCAGCATAGGTGAGCTGCAATCTTAGATAACACCACCATTTGGGCAAAGACCAGAAACAAGGTAGACATAAGCCAGGAGTTTTGCTGGGGAGAAAGCATCCTACTCAAAAGGAACTGCTAGGCAGGAGCACACACACACCCTGGTCCCCTGGTATATGACAGAAAGTTTTTTTTTAAAGCCTGTGTGACTGAAGCAAGGGAGATCATAAGAAAGAAAAACAGAATTAAGGCAAGTAGAGCATAGTTCGCCTTTGATAGCTATTTGCTATTATCACAGCCACGCCTGCTCTTCCTGAGAACCTGCCAGAGTCTTCACATGGCGTCTTCCAGGCAACTAAGCAAGACTGCGCTTGCCTCTCACCACCCCTAGACATTACCTGGAACCTCTCCTGCCAGTCTTGCCCGCCTAGTCTTGCCTCTTGTCTAGTCTCACTCCTCTATCAGGCTTCCTCCAGGCTTTCCTGCCTCCTCAGCCACTGCCAACACAAAAGCTGCTTCTCTTTTCCCTACGCTGCACAAGCTTCAAATGTTGGCCCAATGATGCCCAATGATGCCCCCCCCCCTCTGCTGTTCCCTAGGGATTGCCAGCCCTGGCCCTGGCGTGGCCACTTTGGGTTGTTTGTACTAGGTGGCACTTTGTATGCTCTTATGGGTGCCCAGCTGTTCCAAGCAGCCAAAAAACATGGTTTGCCAGAAAGCTGAAAACATGTTACTGGAAAAAAGAGGGCAAAAAGGCCGGGCACTTGTGGCTCACTGGTGTAATCCTAGCTATTCTGGAGGCTGAGAGCTGAGTATCACAGTTTGAAGCCAACCCCAGCAGGAAAATCCATGACTACCAAAAAAAAAAAAAAAAAAAACAAGCTGGAAGTAGAGCTGGTTCAAGTGATAGAGCATTAGCCTTGAGGGAAAAAAATCTCAAGGACAGGAAGGCCAGGGATGCTGAGGAGGAGAGATCCTGAGACCAGGGATGCTCTCAGTAGGCCTCTGCAGGTGGGAGGAGCCTCCACCCTTCCATCATTTCCAAAGCAAGGCCCACCACAGCCAACCTTCCCTCTGTCAAGCCTCAGAGGCCTTCAAATGTCAGCAGTTTTCTCTGCATCACCAACCATCAGCAGATATTTGGCTCAACCATCTGCTCATTGCTTTGGCCAGAAGAAATGTCTCCCTGCCCACTTAACACGTCTTTGCTATTTGGATCTGACACTCCCTAATGAAATCAGACAGTATCAAACCCACGTGTGCTGTGGTCTCTTCACCTCAGTCCTCGGGTCATTTTAGGATCGTCTGTTCTTCATCATGCAGAACCGGCCTGTTCAATGCAGCCTGCTTCAAGGCCTACTAGAGGCAGTAGCACCTCCCACTCCAGTGATGACCATCAAAAGCAACTCCAGACATTGCCACATGGGGGTGGGGAGACAGACGGTCCCTGGAGAGAGTGGCTACCTCACTGGTGTGGTTACTGAGCGAGTTGCCCTATAGGGTCGGACCATGGAGGGCTGGGAGGAGCCCTTCACTGTGAGAGCTCACCGCCATGTACCACCCTGAGTGTCTAAAAAGAGCAAATGTGGTCCAGCTGGGTCCTCAAAGACCACACAAACCTGCATGATCATTCATTCATACATTCCACAAATAATCCTAGTCCTTCTGTGGCTGTTGGATAGGCCATAACCTCAGAGGCAATGCAGAAGAAGAACCGTTCCTGTCACCAAGTCCTCCACCTCATGCGCCTGCCAGCGCAGGTCTCAGTAAAGTGGACCTGGCCTGGAAAACAGCACCATATACCCTGGCTCTCACTTCTGACTCAGTCCGAGACCAAGTCAGCTCCACAGCTCATTTTGTGAAATCCTGGTGCCATCAACAGCACAACTGCTTCTCCAACTCTGGAGTCGCAGTTCTGCAGGCTCACGCTCAAGATGGAGGTGTCAGCAGGTTTGGCTTCTCCTGAGGTTTCTCTTTGGCTGCTGATGGGGCCTTTGCTGTCCTCAGATGACCTGGACTCTTCCTGGGCTGTGTCCACCACCAGCTGAGATGATTAAGGCTAGCATGCCCTGCCTGGGGCTTCTCCTTGCATGGGGAACAGGGGGTCCTCGTGCCTGGCTGTAACATATCAGCCTCACCTGCTCCATACACCTGGACACAGGCAACACTCACATCATGAGCAGAGCAGAGCTGGGTGCTGGTAATCCCAGCCTGTAATCCCAGCGACTCAAGAGGTTGAGATCTGAGGATCATGGTGCAAAACCAGCCTGGGCAGGAAAGTCCATGAGACTCTCATCTCCAATAAACGACTCATAAAAAGGAAAGCTGGAAGAGAAACTGGGAGAGCACCAGCCTTAAGCAAAAAAGCCCAAGGACAATGCCCAGGCCCTGAGTTCAAGCCCAGGATTGGCACGCACACACACACACACACACACAAAAAGTGGTGGGAAGAGCAGTTAGTCAAGGACTCAAGTACTGTGGTAGCAACAGTTGGCCTACAATTCACCGTGTGCTATAATCTGTATCTGTGTCTCCCCTAAAATTCGCATACTGGAATTCTCATTCCCAAGGGGATGGAATGAGGGGTAAAGGCCTTTGGAGGCTGGGCACAGCCCAACAGGGCAACAGGATTAGTGACTCTGTTGTAAATGAAGCCAAAGGGAGCCTGTCTGTCCCCTCCTCCACATAGGAACACTACAAGGTCCCACGGCCATGAGCCAGGTCCCCACCGGAGGTCAAATCTGCAGATGTGGATGAGTAAACTTCCTGCCTCCAGAACCTGAGCAATAAGTTTCCCTTGTCCTTAAACTACTCAGTCCACTATGGGCTTTTGTTATAGCAGCTAGAATAGATGAATCCAATGTGGAATCCTGAGCTATTTATCCAACCCTCTGAGGCTCAGCTGTAGATCAGGCAGTTTGTTTTTGTTTTTGTTTTGCCAGTCCTGGGCCTGGGCACTGTCCTGAGCTTCTTTTTGCTCAAGGCTAGCACTCTACCACTTGCACCAGAGCACCACTTCCAGCCTTTTCTGTGTATGTGGTACTGGGGAATCGAACCCAGGGCTTCATGCATGCTAGGCAAGCACTCTACCACTAAGCCACGTTCCCAGCCCAATCTGGCAGTCTTGTAAGGATAACATCTTGTAAGGATAACGTGGGTGCACACACAGGTGCCCAGCCCAGGGCACAGGAAGTGCTGGGAAATAGCAGCATGGTCTCCCAGATCCTGCCCCAGTTTCCAGAGGCCAGAAAGGGCCCTGGCCTGGCAGAGCTCCAGGACAAACTGCCCAACACCAGGCTCCCTGTGCCTGTGACAAGCGCCAACACGTGCCTTCCTCAGAAGCCTCCCAGGAGACGAAGCAAGTGCCAGCGTGTGCAGAAGCAGGTGTCTGTGGTGGGTCCAGACACACAGGAAGCTAAGGTCCAATGGGACAGGTGGGGGCAGGGAACAGGGGGCTCTAGTCACTTCCAAGGCAACAGCAGAGCCTTTCCCAAAGCTCAGCAGTCTTCATTCCCAGGGAAGAATGGTATTCCCAGGAGCTGTGCAAATGCTAGAATGAACTCACCTTGCTTCTCCCCACCATGCCAATCCCACCCCCCACTGGCTACTTCTGGCACCTAATAATCCTTTGCCCTGTCCTCTACCTTAGCTAACAGCCTGGCCAAGCAGCACAAAGCTGCTCCTGTACACAGCTGAGCATGCACAAGCACAGTGACAACTCAGCACCTACGCAGAGCCAGCAGTAGACCAGGGCTCAAACGCCACAGCCCGCATCACCTGATTGGAGGCAGGGAGACTGGAGCTTGCTGCCAGACTCCAGGAAAAGCCTATAACCTCACAAGAAGGGGATCATGTGTATGAGGATGACTGATTCACTCTCGCGTGCACAGGAGGCAGAGCGTGCAAAGGTCCTAGTTCAGACCTGACACAGGCAGGGGGGAGCAAGGGGAGCTATTATTCAATCAGGTGACCGTTAAGTCCCTCCGGGGCCAGATTTGAGTTCTAACAGCATAGTCATTGTACAATAGCTAGTATTTTATTCAAAGACTCTGGGGGTCTGAAACCAGTCTCAAACCTGGTACCTGAGAGTTCGGCTCATTAGCTAGCACTCTACCCATTAAGTCACGTCTCCAACCTCACAGGTTGGAAGGGACTCTCAAGACTTCCTCTGCAGTTAAGGAAAGTGAGCCCCAATAACCTGAATGCTGGCCCACCCCCAGAAAAGGGGCAGGGCAAAGGGCACACCCTGTGTCTTGTCCTTCTGTCCTATGCAGCACAAAGATGCTGGTAGGACCCAGAGCACTGTGAGTTACTATTTTCATTTTTGTTTATTTAGGATTTGCGTGTGCATGCATGTGTGTGTGTGTGTGTGTGCACGTGTGCGTGTGCGTGCATGCCAATACTGGGGCTTGAATTCAAGGCCTGGGTACTATCTCTTAGCTTTTTTGCTCAAAGCTGGAGCTCTACCACTTGAATCACAGCTCTACTTCCAATTTTTTGCTGCTTAAATCAGAAATAAGAGTCTTACATAGACTTTCCTGCCTGAGCTGGCTTTGAACGAACCCAATCCTTTGGTGTCAGCCTCCTGTGTAGCTGGGATTATAGGCATGAGCCACAGATGCCTGATGAGTTGCTATTTTGTTAAAAGAGGTTTCCTGAGCATGCCTTTCTACACAAAAGCCTGGCCTGCCTCTCACATAATTCCTTCAGCACCATTAGTAACATTCCAGGCACTTTCCAAAGGAAAGACCAAACAAAAGAACTTCCTCTCTTGCCCTTTCTTCCCAGGGTTCCCAGAACAGTCCTCTTCTATGCAAGCAGCCTGGCCACACCTCAGGCTATTCTAGTACTTCATGGGTCTGCAGAATGGACCAGAAGGCTGAAGGCAGTTTTCAACAAGACAGCAGACAGACCTTGTGAAGCCCAAGGCAGTGGGGCTTTGAGTAGACCCAATCTCAGATTCACAAGTACTCTTCACAAGTTCAGGTGCAATCCTCACAACCTTGTGGTAGTTTTCACTAAGTCCTGGTTCAAAGACTCCATGGGGTGAAATCAAAGGTCCTGAGGGACTGTGACTCAGAATCAATTAACAACTCAACCCTCTGGCCTGTGGACTTAGCCCTGAAGCCAATATAAAGCTCATGCTTTTATTAACTACCATCCAAGAAAGAGGTGGTGGGTGGTGTATTTGTGTGTGTTCTTTAAGAATGAAGACTGTGGGGCTGGGAAGGTGGCTCAGTGGTAGAGTGCTTGCCTCACATGCATGAGGCCCTGGGTTCAATTCCTCAGTACCAAATAAACAGGAAACACTGGAAGTGGCACTGTGGCTTAAGTGTTAGTGGACTAGGCTTGAGCTGAAGAGCTCAGGGACAGCTCCCAGGCCTAGAGTTCAAGCCCCATGTCCAACAACAACAACAATAAAAAGGAATGAAGACTGCTCTCTGCTTTGTTGAAGTTGAGCCTATGCAAAGACAGCAACAGAGAGAAATAGCAAACCATTCCCAGAATGACCTGACATTTGATGGTGAACCCTAGAAAAGACCTTGTGGGGGGTGCAGAAATGGTCTTCCCCTATATATTCCACAATCACCAAGATTACAAATGTTTATCAGTCACCAACTTTCCATTCAAAACTGTAAAAACAATATGGGAAGTCTGGCATGCCTGTAATCCTAGTTACTCAGGAGGCTGAGATCTGAGGATTGTGTTTCCTCCAATTAATCTTACTTCCAATTAATTACCAAAACAAAAAGAAAGAAAGCTAGAAGTGGGGCTGTGGCTCAAATGTACATATACATATACACATACGTATGTGTATATACATACATACGTATATATATATATATATATATGCCCATTCCTCCCACTGACTGCTCTACTCCTCACCCCTCTGTTGCTTCTAGCCAGGTGGGCTGTGGTCACCCAGCATACAGATCCAGTCCTGTCCTTAGTTCCCCCACTGGCACAGAGGAGAAGCTATGCTGGGACTGAGGGCCAGGTGGATCCTGTGACTCTACTGTGTGGTCCAGAGGGGTAGGTTCTGCAGGGCCAGAGCAGGAATCCTCTAAAGCCCAGAGCTGTCTAGCCTGCATGGCTGTGTTTCCCTTCCCCTCCAGGACTCAGTCCCATTCCATGGAGTAAAGAGGCACACACACAATAGGCTAGCCTGGTGGGCAGGGCAGAGCCCGGATGAGATCAGTTCCCACTCCCAGGTGTCACCATATGCAAACATACCTAAATGTATTTCAACTCACATGGATGGAGGAAGGAGGAGGAAGGATGTAGGAAGTGACAGGTGATCAGGTGACCTGGGAGTCATGAGGGATGGCCAGTGGAGACTTGACTCTCCACTCTCTCCCCTTTCCCATTCAGACTTGAGGGGCTATGGTTTTGTAATACAAGCACAGAGTCACAGAAGCTGTATAGAATCAACGTTCTCAAGGGGAAAAACAACCTAAAACCCTGCTAAAAAATTTCCGAGACACAGTGGCCCAGCCCTCAAACCCATCCAAGCCCATAGCTAACCAAGTGGATAAACTGCAAATCTCACAATACACAGCCCTACAGTACTTGCCCACCCACAGCTTCGTGAAGACCTGTGAAACACAAGCCAGTGCAAAGCCAAGAGGTCCCAGTGGCTGGGGCTGTGCACTGTCCCAAGAGCACACAGCCTCCTCCAGTCCTGCCCAGGGGTAGTCATGGCATGGTTCCCCAGGGCTCCTGGTTACCTGGTTCTTCCGGGGCTGGTGGTGTGCTGACTTCGGGTTCTGGGATGACTTCAGGGGGCGGTGGGGGCGGGGCTGGTGGAGCTTTGACGGGGGTGGTTGACTCTGGGGTCTCAAACGCTTCTTCCGAGTCAGAGCTCCTGTTGGAGAGAGGAAAGAGGCATGGGTTAGCCTGGACTCAGGGACCTTCCTGCTGAGCCACGTGTGGTCCGTCTTCTAACCTGGAACCAGTTCACTACTCCAGCTTTCTGGTCAATTGTCCTGTTCAGGGACAGATGTGAGGCCAAGTCATCTCCCCTGATTCCCAAGGTAAATTAACACTGCTTGTGCAGTCTTTGAACTCAGTTCACAGGCTTCTCACCTTAGTGGCAAATACCCAGTGAGCTTCAGCACCCACCATCGGGCATAGATGCCCTCTACCAGATACGGTGAGCATGTCCGAGGTTGGGGTTCCAAGCCACTCCTGAAACCCCTCCTTACAAACTCAATTTCCATTTTCCCTCTCCCCATCCTACCCCATCTGCATCTCTACTCCCCTGCTTTCCCAGACCTTCTTATAACTTCTGGGTATATTTATTCACTTTCTCACCACATTTTTCTTTTTCCCCAGTGGGCCACACTGGCCTCTTGTCTGTCCCAGTATCATGCAGGAGATCATGAATGAGCCTGGTTGAATGAATGAAAGTCACAGCTCAATCAACGAAGATGCCAGACCAAGCCACAAAGCAGAGCTGACTGACGATGCTGGCAGGGTGGAGTCAGACCTTGGTGTATAATAAAATCTATGCCCAAGAAAAATTCCTCACTCAGTGACTTGGTCCAACAGTTCCCAAAGGGAAACACCTTCTCAATAGCAAAAGGGGGAAGCCAGGGGCTCAAGCATGACCATGGGCTCAAGAAAGCCTTGAAGATGACCTTCCTTTTCTGCTTCCCTGGGTCAACTGATGTTAGGCCAGAAGGACAAGATGAAGGCAGCCCAGTCACTGGGCCAGCATGCCACCTGCAGGACAGAAGGCCACTGCTCACGGGATCCTGGAGCCCACCTGGCCATGGCCCAACCTCCGTGTAAGGACAGCAGGTGCAGAAGCAGGGGCAACAGGCCAATTCTCATCTCAGAGGAATCTGAATAGAACCAGACACTGTTGATTCTTTTGCAACAAGGAGGTGAACTATCAAGATGGCGGACATGTAGGATTACAAAGCAGGATAAGCCACCCCAATGGGCGAATGGGACAAAGAAGTATAATCAGAGGGTTACACAGCACGTGAGACAGAACAGAACAGGACAGGACTGGATGTACTGGGCCACGCCCCCAACACCAGGCTCACACTGCTGAACTCACCCTAGAGGCAAAGGACCAGTGAGCTCACTAGAGGTCGCCACCTTCTAAAGGCCAGAAGCAGAGGACAGAGCACCAGGAACCAACCAATCCCAGCACTGTCCGTCAGAATGAGAGTAAAGGAACATTTGGTGAGTTCCCTTTAGAAAACCTCCATCAATATTGCTTTTCTAAGTTATTGAGGGTCATTTGTTTCATGAGTACCAATGATTTTTTTTCCCCATCAGCCCTTCAAGGACTTTGGCACCTTCTGCCAGTCACCAAACCCTCCAGAGACCCCAAGAGACCAAGAGAAATACCAGAGCTGCTTTCGACAGGTCCAGTGAGCTAGGGTCAGCTCAGCAGTAAATTTCACAGTAAATACTTAATGCATGCAGCCAGCCACTGACTTCTCATACACACACTGACGGGCTTAGCACTCATCTGTGGGGAGAACTTAAGATCCATCCATGCCTGGACCTCAGTCTAGTCTAGGTAGAAATGTCTGTTTAGAGGTATAAAAAAAAATACAAATAGGGGCTGGGCACCTATGGCTTATGGCGGTAATACTAGCTACTCAGGAGGCTAAGAACTGAAAGATCAAGGTTCAAAGTCAGCCTGGGCAGAAAAGTCCACAAGAGTCTGTCTGGAAAATGCTAACCAAAAGCCTGAGTGGAGCACCAGTGGCTTGTGCCTGTAATCCTAGTTACTCAGGAGGCTGAGATCTGAAGAATCAGTTAACCCAACACAAATCTCTGAGACTCTGATCTCCAATTAACTAGCAAAAAGCCAGAAGTAGAACTGTGGCTCAAGTGCCAGTGTTGAGTGAAAAGGCTAAACAGGAGCACCGGGGACTATGTTCAAGTACTAGTACAAGTACCAAAATTTTTTTAAAAAAGAAAGAAACAGGGCCTAGAGCTAGGAGTTCTATGCCTGTAATCCTAGCTACTTCAGAGGCTGAGAGCTGAGGATCGCCGTTCAAAGCCAGCCCAGGCAGAGAAAGCAGAGCTGTGGCTCAGGTGATAGAGTACCAGCTTTGAGTAAAACAGCTCCAGGACAGCATCCAGGCCCTGAGCTCAAGCCACAGGACTGGCACAGGAAAAAAAAAAAAAAAGACTGAAGGTGTAGTTCAAGTGTTAGAACATCATCCAAGCAAGTAAGCCAAAAAAATAAGGTCCTGAGATCACACCCCAATACCTCAAACAAGCAAAACCTCACAGAGAGGTAGTATGAGAGAGAAGAGAGGTAACGCTTCAGATCACCTTGGTGGGCCCAGGTGCAGCCTCGGGAATGAATAAGCTTCAGCTCCACATGCTTCAAGGACCAGTGTTGACAAGACACACAAAGCCAACTTGCCTCTTCCCACAACTTGTTTGTGGGGCCAGAAGACTGGAGTCCTCACTGGTGCTCACTGCCATCCACATCCACTGGACCCATTCCACAAGGGACACAACGGCCAGGAGCCCAAGGCCATCTCTGCCGAAGAGCAGCTTCAGTCCTCCAAACTCCCAGCTCTAATACTGCTGCCAGCACCCCTGCCCCACCAGCCACAGATGCAGTGAGGTTTGCCAGCATCCAGACACCACAGGTTGCCCAAGGAAGCCCAGACGCAGAGCGAGGGACCTAGCGCCCATCCCTCGCTTCTGCATGCCTGGGCACTGGAAGCTCCAAAGCACACTGTGCTCACTGGCACAGACGGTAGGGAGGGCCAGATGCGCTGAGGTCTTAGAGGCTGACTTCCAATGAGGTCTCTGCTAGCACAGCTGCCCATCTGCACACCCGCTCAGAGGGACCACCATCTACCCCAGCCAGTGTGCAAATCAGCAGGGCACAGTACCCCAAGCCCCTGTGTGCGTCCTGTTTACTGTCAACTGCTCTTAACACATGCGGGGCCACCAGGGATCACCAGAGCAGCATCCACTTCCGGTGCTGCTGGCCTTGTTGTCACATATCTTCTATGCCTTTCCCCGGAGCAGAGGGAGTTAATTAGAGGCGGCAAATAGCAGCCTTGTAAATTAGCTCTCTTTTCCCCATTCGGTTTCCCAGGCACTCAAAGGCATTTCCAGGAGCAAGGATTCCTGCAGTTCATCAAGTCTGTCCTAAAAAACCAAGCAGCATTTTGGACTTCCAAAGCAATAACGCAAGTTCCATATATTATGTGATTCTTTTTCTAGTAGAGGAAATAAAAATGCACAAAGTTATTGTTCAGGTTGCGGGTACATGAAAAAGGGAAAAATAATACTCTGGTTTCTCTTCAGATTGTATACATCTTTTGCCTTCTACTAAAAATGAAAATAAAAATAAATTTTAAAGTGGGTGGTGATGACTCACACTTGTAATCCTAGCTACTCAGAAGGCTGAGATCTGAGAATCCTAGTTTAAGGAAAATCTGTGAGATTCATCTTCAACTAACCAGCAAAAGGCCAGAAGTAGAGGCGTGTGGCTCAACAGGTAGAGTGCCAGACTTGTGTGAAAAAAAAAGCCAAGTGGGAAGATGAGACCCTGAGTTCAAGCCCCAGAACTGGCTAGCACCTACCCATAGTCAGGAAGGAAGGGAGGGAGGGAGGGGGGGAGGGAGGGAGGGAGGGAGGGGAGGAAAGGGGAGGGGAGGGGAGGGGAGGAAGAAAACACAACAACTGTAGTTCTTAGCATGACAAACTTAACAGCTAGCCTCACTAAATGTTATATAATGTGACAAGTGCTGCATTAAGCTCTCTTGCTGGTACTGGGGCTTGAACTCAGGGCCTGAGCACTGTCTCTTAATGTGTATGTGCGTGCGTGTGTGTGCATGTGTGTATGTGGGACCTGGTGCCTGAACTCAGGTCCTGGGTTCTCTCCCTGAGCTTTTTTGCTCAAAGCTAGCACTCTACCATTTTGTGCCGCAACTCTATTCCAGGTTTTTTTCTGAGAAGTTTGCTGGAGATAAGAGTCTCATGGCCTGGGCTGGCTTCAAACCCCAATCCTTAGCTCTCAGCCTCTGAGTATGGTAGATTACAGGCATGAGCCATGAGTGCCTGGCTGTCCCTTAGCTTTTCAACTCAAGGCTGGCACTCTACCACTTGAGTCATACCTCCACTTCTGGCTTTTTGCTGGTTAACTGGAGATGAGTCATGGACTTTTCTGCCTGGGCTGGCTTTGAACTGAGCTCCTCAGAGCTCAGCCTCCTGATTAGCCACTACCCAGCCTGCTGGAGAGTAGGCCTATTTTATAGATAAGATTACTAGGGCTCAGAGAGGCAAACAACTTTGCCAGAGGCTGCGTAGTCAGTAAACAGTGCTGAGATCCAGAGCTGCTGGTCTCTGAAATCTGCGCCCTTCTCACTACATCTGTGGCTCTCTGATATTTCAGCAGCACTATGCATCGTGTCTTTTATCATAAAAAGTCTATCACAATTAACAATTAAGCTGTTTGGATCATCTTGAAAATTTGACATGGGGAAGAGGGAGGCCAAAGGCAGCCATTATCTGGAAGATTTCACTCCTGGTTGCATGACTTTAGGAAAAGTCCTAATGGGTACCAACAATAGTAACTACCAACAGCCCTTGGTTTTTAACAGCAGGTCTTGTAGTGATGAGATTTTCTTCACCTAGGCAGATGGGCAGGAGAACCACCTCACCACCTAAACCAATTAATCTATCAGCACAAGGCAGCACAGGGTAATAGCCAAAGCACAGCATGGCGTGTGCAGACGGGAGGAAAGATGGCAGTGAGTGTCGCCAAGCGTGGACAGACCGTGCGGGCCATGGAAACTCAAGCCCACAGGGCCTCCCCCCCCCCCCCCCCCGCCTTCCCATCCCGGCTGTGTTCATGTAGTATAAAAA